AGTGGAAGGAGAAGTAGAAGGAGAAGTGGAAGGAGAAGTGGAAGGAGAAGTAGAAGGAGAAGTAGAAGGAGAAGTAGAGGGAGAAGTAGAAGGAGAAGTAGAGGGAGAAGTAGAAGGAGAAGTAGAGGGAGAAGTAGAAGGAGAAGTAGAGGGAGAAGTAGAAGGGGAAGTAGAGGGAGAAGTAAGTAGAAGTAGAAGCGAGTAAGAAGAGTAGAAGTAGAATTTGAGCGAGTAAACACCTGGCTCAACAAAATTTAGAAAATAGATCGATAGGGGAAAATAGCGCATAAGACCTGCCCCCAAGATGACAACAAGGTTGTCACCTGAGCGGTTGGGAAGAGCCTGTTGTCATCTTGGGGGGGAAGTCTTATGCGCTATTTAATAGAAATCGAAGTCAAACAAGTCAAACCTAGTCAAACCTAGTCAAACCTAGTCAAACTAGTTAAACTAGTTAAACCTAGTCAAACTTTCAGACGTCATGAGAAATCTCTCGTTAAATATGGCAATGATAGTTTTAAAAACAAATTTCATCACTTTCCTTTCAAAAAATCATTTAAAAATAGCTTTTTTTGACTTAAAAATTGTTGAATCAGTCGTGTTTACGTGAAAAATATTCGAAAATACTCGAAAAAGCTCTCTCATAAAACGAAAAAGCCAAAAAGAGATCTATTTTTTCGAACTTTTTAAAGAATCGTATGGAAATTCTCGAAAAAGTATTTAAACAAACAAAAGCTCATCTGTAAAAGCTATTCAGTTATCAGATTTTGAAATGAATTCCATATTTTTTGGCATTCTTTTGGTTACATCATTTTTTTCATTGACGGAGGCGAATTGTTACGATAATTGGAGTCGTTGCACACCGGAGACCTCATTTTGGACAGGTTCTGGGGGAAAAAAACATCATTTACATCATGTACTTTTGGTTTAAACCTTTTGGTTTACCTTTTGGTTTAAACCCACAGTTTCTGATGCACTTATTTCGTTCATTTACTTTCCATTTCTACTCCAAAGAGCGCGCTTTTAAAAACTGAGCTCTGCTTTTGTTTTTGAGTCTATTTTTGAACAAAAATATACCCAAAAGTGAAATTGATTTAAATGAAAGAAATTTTTTATGGAAACATTGATCAGAATTACAGGGATTTTATGGAAAGATTGCCCAGATTACTGTCGTGAGTGTCAGGAAGAGAAAGTGGTGGTTGTGTGTGGGAAAGTTGAAAGCTGAGAGCTAAAAGCTGAAGCACGGGTTGAATAGATAAAAACCTGCAAAGTATTAGATTTCAAGAAAAAAAAACAAAAAACCAAGAGAAGGATCGAACCCTCCTCTTACTGGCGGCAGGCCCTTCCACTATCCACTAGGCCACCGGTACCGATTGATCGGTCGCTTGAAAAGCGCCCTTTAAAGCCTATCTTCCAATTTCAATTCGCTTTTTTTAAACCAAAAACCAAGAGCGGGATCGAACCCTCCTCCGATTGGCGGCAGTCACTTCCACTAGGCCACCGGCACCGACCAATCTGGCCCTTGATAAGCACCCTTTAAAGCCTATCTTCCAATTTCAACTCACTTTTATCGTTTTATATAATCGTCGTTTTAAGTTAAAGAAATCTACAGTACTTGCAATCCTTTTCCAATCGGTAATTCACTCGCAAACCATTCCGATCCCGAATGATTACAGTGAAGATCTGTGTCACCGTTGTAGATCAACATCTAAACATTGAAATGGAAAAGGATTTGATTTTTAATTCGTACAAATTCTGCAAATCTACTCCAAACGGAAAAACATCATTTACATCATGTACTTTAGGGTTTAAAAGCCTAAATCCACAGTTTCTGATGCACTTATTTCGTTCATTTAGTTTTCATTTCTACTCTAAACGTCCAGAGCGTTTAAAAATTGAACTCCTTTTGTTTTCAAGCCTATTTTTGAACATAAATATACCCAAAAGTGAATTTGATTTAAATTAAAGAAATTTTGTATGGAAAAATACCTCAGAATTACAGGAATTCTATGGAAAGATTGCCCAGATTACTGTCGCGAGTGTCAGGGTCGAGAAAGTGGTGGTTGTGTGAGGGTGGAGAACAAAGAGTGTTCTGGTGGATATCAGTGCCAGTGGGTTTTAAAATGAAACGAAATCTATGCGATTTCAAATAACCACATACAAACAATTCAAATAAATAAAGCAGAATTTGTGAAGCAGAGATATTACTAAAGAAAAAGAAGAAGAAAAATACTATTAAAGAAAAAGCAAAGCAAAAGTCAACTGGGGGATTCGAACCCAACCACAAAAAGATCGACAGGCTCCGTAGTGAACCACACTACCCACTACAGGCTCCTTAGTGAACCACACTACCCACTACAGGCTCAGTAGTGAACCACACTACCCACTACACCACGCCTGTCACTAAATCTGACGTGTAAACTCAGTTATCTTTTAACTGAGCTACACCCTCTAGAGTGAGTATGAGTAAAGATGACGCACGCTGTACTTCTCTAATCAGGTTAGTCCAGCCTGTTTCAGCCTAGCTTCTGAGCCCGGACTGGACATAGATAAGGATTGTAAGCTAAAGTAAAGCTAAAGCAAATCCAGATCTGGTTCTTGGATTGGCCTAAGCTAAGCCTAAGCCGAAAAGTTAGTAGCTTTAACTTTGGCAGCTTAGAGCAAGTTCAGAAGAATCATTTAGACAAAATCTCAATTTGTTTTCCTTTCAGATGTAGCGGTGGGAATGTGGACAAGTCAGGCAACTGGATCGTCATGGCCACTTGTGCGTTGGGACTTTGAAAAATGGCTAAACTTTGAAAATATTTGTAAACTTTGTAAAGAAAGGTTTTTATCGACAATTCTTATTTGAAACAAGACAGACAGACAGACAGACGGACAGACGCTTTGAATCAATTCTCAATATCAATTTTTCGCGCCCTCAAAGAACGAGCCTTGTAATTTTAAACCGACAGTTTCTCAATAGCAGCACGGATTCAAAAATTCTAACGATAAATTTTCTTTTAAATTTTAAAAGGGCGACATTTCAGGCTAGATTGTTAGCTAAATTTGTTAAGCTTTTGTTAATCGAAAGATAAATCGATTCGATCGATCGACGATTCGCAAAATTCTCTTTTCATCTTTTCTCAAAAACTTTTTCATTTAGACGCTTCAAATTCATCAAAATCTTCATTAAAATTATTTGAATTAGGGGATTTTATTTTCAAAAACAATCGGATTCACCTAATCGGCACATTCAAAATGGAAATGTTTATTTAGACTTTGAAAATGACAAATAAAAAAGCACTTTTTGAAAAGATAAGTAAAAGAAAAAGGAAAAGGGAAATAAACAAGGGGAAATTTGGTATAAATAGTTTGAATTTTTATCTCATTTCAAGCTTAAAAGTATTAAGCGAACGATGAAATCTCTTCTTTTGACAATCCTTTTCTTTTCGTCGATGCTGGTGATGAGCAATGCGAATTGCTATGACAATTGGAGTCGATGCACACCTGAAACAGCTTTTGCTACAGGTTTGTTCTCGTTTAAGCTCTAGATAAATCATTAAACATTCTATTTGCAAATGAAATGAAATGAATAATCGCATTGTTTTTTTTTTTAAATCAATCAAAAAGCTTGTCAAATATCTGTACGAGAAGAACACTGTTGAAATCGCTTTTTTAAATGTTAATGCTTTTCCCAAGGTTTTAATTACATTTAAATATTGAATTTTTATGTTAATTTGCAAGGAATTTGTGTAAAATTGTGTAAACAATATATTAAAGGAAAAACAAAAACAAAAAGCTGAATCAGGAACCGAACCCTGATCCTTCGACTGGCAGCCAAAGCTGTTATCCGGTAGGCTACCAAGACCACGGCTACCCGATTAGAAATGAGCCATTTAAAGCACCTTGAGTACCTTTCCCTACTACAACCAGAACTAGATTCTACAGGGAAAGGCACCTCTATCTATATAAAAGTCCAAAGCATCCACCTGCTGGTCAACCTTTCGTGGTTGAGGGCCTAAGAGTGGGGATTGCTAATCGAGCAGTCAAGGGTTCGAATCCCCTCTTTGCAAACATTCACCTTTCTTGCGGAAAACTTTTACCCAAAGGTACACGGGGAACACGAATATTTTATTAGTTTTTCAAAATTTACAAAATGCAACTGCTTGCAGTTAAAACATTTTCATTTTGATTTTTACTTGTAGTTGTCTGAAATAGGTTTTGTTTTAAAGACTTTAAAGGCTCAGGCTTAGGCTCAGGCTTAGGCTTAGGCTCAGGCTAGGCTCAGGCTAGGCTCAGGCTTAGGCCAGGCTCAGGCTAGGCTCAGGCTAGGCTCAGGCTTAGGCTTAGGCTCAGGCTAGGCTCAGGCTAGGCTCAGGCTTAGGCTCAGGCTTAGGCTTAGGCTCAGGCTTAGGCTCAGGCTAGGCTCAGGCTAGGCTCAGGCTTAGGCTCAGGCTCAGGCTTAGGCTCAGGCTCAGGCTTAGGCTCAGGCTAGGCTCAGGCTAGGCTCAGGCTAGGCTCAGGCTCAGGCTTAGGCTCAGGCTCAGGCTAGGCTCAGGCTAGGCTCAGGCTTAGGGCTTAGGCTCAGGCTCAGGCTTAGGCTCAGGCCTAGGCTCAGGCTTAGGCTCAGGCTTAGGCTCAGGCTAGGCCCAGGCTCAGGCCAGGCTCAGGCTTAGGCTCAGGCTAGGCTCAGGCCCAGGCTCAGGCTCAGGCTAGGCTCAGGCTTAGGCTTAGGCTCAGGCTAGGCTCAGGCTAGGCTCAGGCTAGGCTCAGGCTTAGGCTTAGGCTCAGGCTTAGGCTCAGGCTAGGCTCAGGCAGGCTCAGGCTTAGGCTCAGGCAGGCTTAGGCTCAGGCCAGGCTCAGGCAGGCTCAGGCTTAGGCTTAGGCTCAGGCTAGGCTCAGGCTCAGGCTAGGCTCAGGCTTAGGCTTAGGCTCAGGCTTAGGCTCAGGCTAGGCTCAGGCTTAGGCTTAGGCTCAGGCTTAGGCTTAGGCTCAGGCTAGGCTCAGGCTAGGCTCAGGCTTAGGCTTAGGCTTAGGCTTAGGTTCAGGCTCAGGCTCAGGCTCAGGCTTAGGCTCAGGCTTAGGCTCAGGCTCAGGCTTATATTAGCATCTTTAAAACCTAGATAAAACGGCCGTGTAGTTAGCTTGGTTTCTATCTAGTTTTTGTCCAAAAAAATGATCCATTTCTCCTTTCCATTCCTCTCATTAATTGGTTTATCTCAAAAAGTACAAAGTAAAACTGAGATTTCTGTTTTCAGATCCAAATTTCTTACTTCATTTCTAATTTAGGCATTTTATGGAAAGATTGCCCGGAGTACTGCCAGAAATGTAATGGGAAATCGACAGGGAAATGCGAGAAAGTTTACAATAAAGAATGCTCGGGTGGATATCAATGCAAGTGAGTTTTTTTTCGGGCAATTGTTCACTTGTAAACATTCGAAGAGTCATAAAAATGATCTTTTCTTTGAAACTGTAACATCTCAGGCTAAAACTAAGCCAGAATAAAGCTCAGGCTTATATTAGCATTAAGGGATTTAAACTCGTTCATCGTTTGATCTGATTTGACCAATCACTTGTACTTTGTCTCTATATACTATATAGATACTCAATCTCTACCTAAACACACTCTTTCTGGCACACTTTTTTGTACTCTGGCACGTTTTCTCATTTTTTCATGACATCAATCCTTCGCTGTAAAGAAACTAAAAGAATTTAGTGTGCTAGACGGCTAAAAACTAGGATTTTAGCTGGTTTTAAGCTGGTTTTAAGCTACAGCTCAAAATTGATGAACTAAATCAAAAGTTTCCTTTTAGATGCTCTGGAAAGGATATTGGAAAATCAGATAACTGGCTCGACAAGGCCACTTGTGCTCTCGGATTGTAAAGATACGAAATTTTCTTTATTTCTGTATTTCTGTATTTGATGTGTAAATAAAGAAGCAAATAAATGCCTTGATAAGTTTTATTTTTCGATTCTCAATTCGATAACGTTCCCCAAGTGCCATATTGTTCAAAGATGGGATTATTTGGGCACTATTGCACGCGTCACATTGATCAGAGTACGAGCAATCGTCGCGAATTCGCCAAGAAGTCATGTTATTGTAAAGATTGTCATTGTAAAGACGTCAGCCACCGCTGAAAGATTTTGGAAATTGGAATCTCTAAGGTGATCCGTTTTCTAAAGACGCTTGTTTCCGAACAAACCAATACAACAACGCTGGATTGTTGGTTTGCTGTTTTTATGATTTTAAACAGCTTTCACCACTTCGAAAATCCCTTCTTGAGCATTGAGCAAATAGAGCGAAATTAGGCGAGAATGAGCAACGAGAGTCCGAACGATTTCATGATTTGGGTATAATGATCTGGAACTTTTAGGGTTTCTAAAACGGATCAACCAGGCTGAGAAGATCTGAGAAGATGGGCTAGAACCAGAGTTAGATCAAGCAAGGTAACTCTGTAGTCTTGTAGATCTGCCAACCAGGAGCTAGGGTTACGGTCGGGGCTGGCAGTGATTTCCTAGTCGATCTCAAGATCTATAAGCCGGGCCTAAAGCCTGATCATGAGCCAGGTCTTGTCTAGCTTGGCTGGAGTAAGACCTGGCTCAGGTCTTACTCCAGCTTGGCTGTCTTACTCCAGCTTGGCTGTCTTACTCCAGCTTGGCTGTCTTACTCCAGCTTGGCTGTCTTACTCCAGCTTGGCTGTCTTACTCCAGCTTGGCTGTCTTACTCCAGCTTGGCTGTCTTACTCCAGCTTGGCTGTCTTACTCCAGCTTGGCTGTCTTACTCCAGCTTGGCTGTCTTACTCCAGCTTGGCTGTCTTACTCCAGCTTGGCTGTCTTACTCCAGCTTGGCTGACCTTGATTTTGCTGGAGTTGAACCTGGTTTAAAGTCAGATTTGGAACAGCTATAACTCTATGCAAAACAAGAGCAGTTATCGTAACTGAAGCTGGAGTAGTACCAAAGTTTGTAGGATAATCTACATTATCCAAATTCCAAAACAATTTTCTTTCCTTTATTCCCCAATAATCCAGTGATAACTCAAAAGAATCACACAAAAAATAAACCAAAATTTCTTTAGACTAGAACTCTTTGATGGCTTTGATGGACTCGTGGGATTAGTTGGAGGATCGATGTGCACTGGGATACTGTAGTCGCTTCCATTAATAAAATTGTAGATCAATTGAAAGAGTTGAGCTGGTCGATCAGTGCCAGATAAGTGGCCACCACCCTTTAAATTATTGGCTTTAAACAGGCTTCTTTCTACCGTAATCTTTGTCTCTACATTTATACACTTTATTTATTCTATAAGGTTTTAAAAAGGATCTCAAAAAGTATAAGAATAGATTGGAGAAGAAATAGAGAAGATTACGGTAGAAAGAGAAAGAGAAAGAGAGGGAAAGAGAGGGAAAGAAGGGGAAAGAAAGAGAAAGAAAGGGAAAGAGAGGGAAAGAAAGGGTAAAAAGTTGCCGTAAACTTTGCCTGTTTTAAAACAGCTGCTGCCGCTGTTAATGAAAGAATTACTCTATTAAATCAAACTAATAGACTGTAAATAGTAGTGTATTGTACTTTTACCTTTATCGTGACCACATCGAGACCTTGATCGTGACCATTTCCTTGATACTTTGTCACATATCCGGCTACTCTTTTCAAGTAAAATTCATCCATTTGATAGTACCATTCAGTTCTTTCTTCTTTTATCTAAGAAAAGATTCGTTTCTTTTGAGAAAATGACGAGCGTACAGTTGCGTACAGTTCCGTAGTCAACTCTTTTACTGATAATTCATAAGCTGAATGTTGAAAGTTGAAAAGACGTAAAAATTGAATTGAAATTTTGAATACAAGCTTTAAAGGACTTTAGAACTTTAAAGATTTTTGATTAAAAGCTTTTTGATTGAAAGATTTGAAACCTTTTGAAAGCTAAAAACTGAAAGCTAAAAGCAGAAAGCAGAAAGCAGAAAGAGGAAAGGAGAAAGCTAAAAGCTGAAAGCAGAAAGCTGAAAGCAGAAAGCTAAAAACTGAAAGCTAAAAGCAGAAAGCAGAAAACAGAAAGCGGAAAGGAGAAAGCTGAAAGCAGAAAGCTAAAAGCTAAAAGCAGAAAGCAGAAAGCTCAAAGCTGAAAGCTAAAAGCTGAAAGCAGAAAACAGAAAGCTAAAAGCTAAAAGGATGAAGCTCAAAGCTCAAAGCAGAAAGCTCAAAGCTGAAAGCTAAAAGTTCAAAGCTGAAAGCAGAAAGCTAAAAAGAGAAAGCTCAGAGCTAAAAGCTAAAAGCAAAAAGCTGAAAGGAGAAAGCAGAAAGCAGAAAGCTCAAAGCAGAAAGCTGAAAGGAGAAAGAAGCTCAAAGCTAAAAGCTGAAAGGAGAAAGCTCAAAGCTAAAAGCAGAAAGCTCAAAGCTGAAAGCAGAAAGCTGAAAGCTAAAAGCTGAAAGCTGAAAGCAGAAAGCTAAAAGCTCAAAGGAGAAAGCTAAAAGGAGAAAGCTCAAAGCTCAAAGCAGAAAGCTAAAAGTTAAAAAGTTAAAAGCTTAAAGCTGAAAGCTCAAAGCTAAAAGAAGAAAGCTAAAAGCTGAAAGCTCAAAGCAGAAAGTTCAAAGCTGAAAGCTGAAAGCAGAAAGCTAAAAGCTCAAAGCTAAATCACGGGTTCAATAGATAAAAACCTGGAAAGTATTCGATTTAAAGAAAAAAACCAAAAACCAAGAGGGGGATCGAAGCCTCCTCTTACTGGCGGCAGTGACCTCCACTAGGCCACCGGTACCGACCCCCTCAGCCCTTGATAAGCACCCTTTAAAGCCTATCTTCCAATTTCAATTCAATTTTATCGTTTTATATTATCGTCGTTTTAAGTTAAAGAAATCTACAGTACTTGCAATCCTTTTCCAATCGCTAATTCACTCGCAAACCATTCCGATCCCAAATGATTACAGTGAAGATCTGTGTCACCGTTGTAGATCAACATCTAAACATTGAAATGTAAAAGAATTTGATCTTAATCCGTAGAAATTCTGCAAATTTTGCAAATTCTGCAAATCTACAATAGTTGCGAGTGTTTTAAAGTCGCTAATTTTGCAAACCTTAATCCCAGCATCGATGCCTATCTCAAAATAAGGACTTGTCGTAAAGGTTTGTCTTTGATAATCGTTTATGATACTAAATTCTTGACTTATTTTAAAATCCAACTTTTTATCTACCTCTTTTCTTGCCACACTTGAACATTTGAAGGGATATGGAGTGCTTGGCGCACATCGTCTCGTCTCAAATAACTTCTCAGTGATTGTTCCATGTGACACCAGTATGATTCAAATTCGTTTTCCGCATTTTCGACCGGAATCTAGACGTTCTTAGAACTTTATAATAGAGCAATTATCTATAAAAACCAGGTCAAGACAGGGATAGACCCAGGTTTGACCAAGGTTTGCCCGCCCCAGGTTTGCCCGCCCCAGGTTTGCCCGCCCCAGGTTTGCCCGCCCCAGGTTTGCCCGCCCCAGGTTTGCCCGCCCCAGGTTTGCCCCAGGTTTGCCCGCCCCAGGTTTGCCCGCCCCAGGTTTGCCCGCCCCAGGTTTGCCCGCCCCAGGTTTGCCCGCCCCAGGTTTGCCCGCCCCAGGTTTGCCCGCCCCAGGTTTGCCCGCCCCAGGTTTGCCCGCCCCAGGTTTGCCCGCCCCAGGTTTGCCCGCCCCAGGTTTGAAGCAGGTTTGCACAGGTTTGCTCCAGGTTTGCCCCAGGTTTGCCCGCCCCAGGTTTGCCCGCCCCAGGTTTGCCCGCCCCAGGTTTGCCCGCCCCAGGTTTGAAGCAGGTTTGCACAGGTTTGCTCCAGGTTTAACCCAGGTTTGCCCCAGGTTTGCCCGCCCCAGGTTTGCCCGCCCCAGGTTTGCCCGCCCCAGGTTTGCCCGCCCCAGGTTTGCCCGCCCCAGGTTTGCCCGCCCCAGGTTTGCCCGCCCCAGGTTTGCCCGCCCCAGGTTTGAAGCAGGTTTGCACAGGTTTGCTCCAGGTTTGCCCCAGGTTTGCCCGCCCCAGGTTTGCCCGCCCCAGGTTTGCCCGCCCCAGGTTTGCCCGCCCCAGGTTTGAAGCAGGTTTGCACAGGTTTGCTCCAGGTTTAACCCAGGTTTGCCCCAGGTTTGCCCCCCCAGGTTTGCCCGCCCCAGGTTTGCCCGCCCCAGGTTTGAAGCAGGTTTGCACAGGTTTGCTCCAGGTTTGCCCCAGGTTTGCCCGCCCCAGGTTTGCCCGCCCCAGGTTTGCCCGCCCCAGGTTTGCCCGCCCCAGGTTTGCCCGCCCCAGGTTTGCCCGCCCCAGGTTTGCCCGCCCCAGGTTTGACCCAGGTTTGACCTAGGTTTGATGCAGGTTTTCCTGAGGTTTGACCCAGGTTTGCCCTAGGTTTAACCCAGGTTTGCCCCAGGTTTAACCCAGCTTAACCCAGGTTTGCTCCAGATTTCCCCCAGTTTTGCCCCAGGTTTGACCCAGGTTTGCCCCAGGTTTGCCCCAGGTTTGCCCGCCCCAGGTTTGCCCGCCCCAGGTTTGCCCGCCCCAGGTTTGCCCGCCCCAGGTTTGCCCGCCCCAGGTTCGCCCGCCCCAGGTTTGCCCGCCCCAGGTTTGACCCAGGTTTGACCTAGGTTTGATGCAGGTTTGGCCGAGGTTTGACCCAGGTTTGAGGCAGGTTTGGCCGAGGTTTGACCCAGGTTTAACCCAGGTTGACCCAGTTTTGACCCAGGTTTGCCCTAGGTTTAACCCAGGTTTGCCCCAGGTTTGCTCCAGGTTTAACCCAGCTTAACCCAGGTTTGCTCCAGATTTCCCCCAGTTTTGCCCCAGTTTTGCCCCAGGTTTGACCCAGATTTGACCCAGGTTTGCCCCAGGTTTGCCCCAGGTTTGACCCAGGTTTGACCCAGGTTTGGCTCAGGTTTCCCCCAGGTTTGCCCCAGGCATGTTAACTCCAATTTTTTAATGATTCTACCGTTTGCAATCTACGTATAATTGCTTGTATCTTAGCCGGATTTATTTCAAAAACATTAAATTTGCTTTATTCGACTAGAAATCAAATTTTTCTATCAAAAGAAATCAAATTCAACGTTTTTTTTCAAATAAACCCGGTCAAGGTACGAGCAAAATTCGTAGATTGTCAACGGCAAACGGACAGAAAAGGAGCTGATCAGGTCAAAGCCTATTTAGCTTCACCTAAAAACAAGCAAGTTCAAACTGAGCACAAGCCTGACTCTAGTTAAACCCTGTGCTGGGCTGGCTTGACTCTAGCATGGCTTGGTCTAGATCCTCCAGCACTGAACATTGTGTAGCCTTTAAACCTACCATATTCGTCGACTCGTTGACACTTTTTCGATAGCAATCTTGATAGATATTGTATCCATTATTCGGAGTATTCTCGTAATATTTCCAAACATTTTCCACAAGCTAGAATACTCATTTTTCGTCAATTCCCTAAACAAACCAATTCAAAACAAGTGTCATTCGGGTATTTTGGATTGGGAAACGTCGGGAAATCGACGTGATCCGAGAATTGACATTTGAATTCGTTTGAGTCTGGTGGACAACAGAGATCGAGAAGAGTCATGTAAACACTGCAAAAGGGATTCATCAAACTTTTGATTCAATCATCTTGATCTAGGGCTCAAAATTTGATGGATCTATCACTGGGCTTGAGCTAGTTCTAGTAGTGGTGCCGATTCAGTACAAGTCATTACTGAATTCCCATCAACTTTGATATCAGAATTGATTTGGTGCAAACATGCTATATAAAACATCGATGGATTTAGTGCTGGATCTCTATCTGTATCTAAAATTGTACTTGTGATCTCATCTGTAATACAGAAACTAAATGCTCCAAGTGATCTACGATTAGGCTGTGAACTAGGCTGTGATCTAGGCTGTGATCTAGACTGTGATCTAGGCTGTGATCTAGGGTGTGATCTAGACTGTGATCTAGGCTGTGATCTAGGGTGTGATCTAGGGGGTGATCTAAGCTGTGATCTAGGCTGTGAACTAGGCTGTGATCTAGGCTGTGATCTAGACTGTGATCTAGGCTGTGATCTAGGGTGTGATCTAGACTGTGATCTAGGCTGTGATCTAGGGTGTGATCTAGGGGGTGATCTAAGCTGTGATCTAGGCTGTGAACTAGGCTGTGATCTAGGCTGTGAACTAGGCTGTGATCTAGACTGTGATCTAGGCTGTGATCTAGGCTGTGATCTAGACTGTGATCTAGGCTGTGATCTAGGGTGTGATCTAGGCTGTGATCTAGGGTGTGATCTAGGCTGTGATCTAAGCTGTGATCTAGGCTGTTATCTAGGCTGTTATCTAGGCTCTAATAGTAAGCCTGTGTATCCCTTTACGATTCAAACGGTAGCTTGGATACACTAGTCTCTCATCTTTCCGTTTCCAGACACCGTACGATAGTCAGTACGGTGTCTGGCTCAGGCTTAGGCTCAAGCTCAGGCTTAGGCTAAGGCTTAGGCTTAGGCTTAGGCTAAGGCTTAGGCTCAAGCTTAGGCTTAGGCTTAGGCTAAGGCTTAGGCTCAAGCTTGGACTTAGTGTGAAGGCTAGCGGCTAGCGCCTAGCACTAAGTCTATTTGGGTTTGGGCTGAACCCCCATTTTCTGGATCTCAGCCGGTTCTCGGAGCTAAGGGACACCCGTTTGGCGGTGTGCTTTGGAACCCAATGGGAGTGTGTTGACAAAATTTCAGGTCGATCTCGTGTCTGGAATTTGAGATCTGACAAGTCGATTTAGGGATTTTTTTGACATAGCCTAAAACGTTTAGGCTTAGGCTTAGGCTCAAGCTCAGGCTCAGCCAGTATGAGTACGGGTCTAGACGATTTTCTGGGCTTTGCCTTACTTTACAAAGCATTTAGAACAAACCTATTTGGCATTAATCCATGATAGTACAATACATGAATCATACTATTCAAATTCTGTCGATAGTCGATGACTCCATTTGCTGTAGCGAATCCCTGAAAGTTGAGATGAATGTAAAAACTTGGAAAGGTTACCTTAAAGTTTACGCTCATTTCTCCACTTTTCACCGCATTGATTACTTTTGAGGCTAACATTGAGACAAAAATCCCTCCATGACTCTCACCAATTAGATAAAGATCTTGATTCTTGTATTCCGAGAAAACATTGAGAAAATCCAACAAAGCACTGTAGTTTTCTTCCATTGACTGAAGGTTTTGGATAGTTCAGATTATAGAAACTTGCTTTCTAATGACTTTGGTGTAAAGATTCTTTAGTTAAACTTACATTCGTATCACTCCAAGTCACATTTTCTGTAGGATCTTCTGTATATGAGAAACCAACGCCAACAGGTGACTCAAGATATAAAATGTTGACAAACTGGAAAGGTTTAGATCAAGAGTTGTTGTTGAGAAAATAGAGTTGTTTAGCCAGGAAAGCCAGGAGAAAGCCAGAACTATCTTCAGTTCTGTAGTAAAGCTCAATCAGGGCAGTCAAGGCCAGGCCAATAGGCCAGGCCAGGCCAGGCCAGGATCTGACTCTGCCTGGAGAATCTTTAACCACCTTTGCACAATGAAACTCACTTGATTCCAAGAAAATGGATTCTCTCTAAGCGTTCCATCACCATTCAACAAAAAGGGCCCATTCTCATAGAACATTCCATACAAAGATGAGTCTCCAGGACCGCCATTTAACCACAAAACGAGTGGTGCTGTGCTTGAGTTTACCATGGCTTCGATGAACCTGGAAACTGATTTTTGGTTGAACTGGAAACCTGGAGAATGATTTTTATTGAACATCTCACCAATAATGCATCTTGTGACTTCCCAAACCGTTCAAATAGCCACTAAATTGAGAGAAATGGCTGGAGAGTTTAATGCCGGGAAGGTTTTCAATCCGATCTTGATCCTGAAAATTGAAATTATACTGTTATTACTATTATTATTATTATATTATTATTATATTATTATTATATTTCTAAAATGTTCGAGGAAAAGGCAGTAAAAGCTAACACCATTGTCTAATCAACTAAAGAAAAGGCATATTGAATAAGGTGACTTGAGTACGATAGCTTGAGTATGATAGCTTGAGTACGGTAGCTTGAGTACGGTAGCTTGAGTACGGTAGCTTGAGTACGAAAGCTTTGAGTAGCTGGTTACTGTAGCCGGGATATTGGAGCTTGAGTGCTGAAGTCGGTGGTTACAGTTGATTGGATACGGTACTTAGGCCATTGCATCCAAGCTACCGTACTCAAAAGCAATCGTACCTAGGCAACTGTATCCAAGCTACCGTACTCAGGCTACTGTATCCAAGCTACCGTGCCTGGACTACTGTCTCCAAGCTACCGTACTCAGGCTACTGTATCCAAGCTACCGTACTCAGGCTACTGTATCCAAGCTACCGTACTCAGGCTACTGTATCCAAGCTACCGTACTCAGGCTACTGTCTCCAAGCTACCGTACTCAGGCTACTGTATCCAAGCTATCATATTCAGGCTGGATCCAACTGCCATATTCAAGTACGGTAACTTCTTGCAACTTTTAGGAAACCTACAATCAAGAAACAACCTTTCTTGTCACCGGTTCTCCTTCCTTACTATCTCTTTTTCTATCATCTTTCTTCTTTTCATCCTTTTGATTCTTCTTCAATGATTCCTTTTGATTCAATGCCGGTTTGAGATCAATCTTTGACAAATCGATGCTAAAATATTCAATTTCTAAAAGCAAATCCTTCTCGACCTGTAATTTTCTCCTTTCATAAAGTTATTGACGATTTGAAGGGATTGCATTGGACGATTCAAACCAATCCAGTGGCCAGCACCCTGGAATTTTCACTGAAACACTGAATCATTGAGTTTTAATCTTTACCTTGAGTTAATCATTGATTTAATCTTTACCTTTATCGTTGAATAGACAAGGCTATTGTATTGAGTGACGTATCCACCAACTGTTGGTAAGTAAAGTGAAGAGTCAAAGTTGAACCACCAGAGTTCTGTATCGAGAGTCATCTAAAAGGAGAAAGTACTGTAACCTAATAGAAGAGAGACATTCTCAAAGGACATTCTCAGAGGGAATCACTGTATAAAGGCAATGAATAAAGCGATTGAGTGATTTCCTTTGTGCAGCAGCGTAATCGCTCACTGTCTGGCAAACCGTTTTGGTATAAAGTGCTTTTCTTTCGGATTCAGAAATGTTATCTCGTCTTACATTAATATTGTTTCCATTTGCGATCTCCGCCACAAAACGCTCAACCCCAATATGATTGTAAACAAAATCCGTGTCTCCATTCAATATAAGAGTCTAAAATGTGACGTAAAAGTGACACTGACGTACTGTACTGAGGTACTTGCATAGTACTGGCACGTACTGACGTGCTGTACATCATACTGGCACGTACTGAGGTGCTGTACATCGTACTGGCACGTACTGACGTGCTGTACATCGTACTGGCACGTACTAACGTGCTGTACATCGTACTGGCAAGTACTAACGTGCTGTACATCATACTGGCCCGTACTAACGTGCTGCACATCGTACTGGCAAGTACTAACGTGCTCTACATCGTACTGGCACGTACTGACGTGCTGTACATCGTACTGGCACGTACTAACGTGCTGTACATCGTACTGGCAAGTACTAACGTGCTGTACATCATACTGGCCCGTACTAACGTGCTGTACATCGTACTGGCAAGTACTGACGTGCTGTACATCGTACTGGCACGTACTGACGTGCTGTACATCGTACTGGCACGTACTGACGTGCTGTACATCGTACTGGCACGTACTAACGTGCTGTACATCGTACTGGCCCGTACTGATGCGCTGTACATCGTACTGGCACGTACTGACGTGCTGTGTATCGTACTGGCAAGTACTGACGTGCTGTACATCGTACTGGCATGTACTGACGTGCTGTACATCGTACTGGCACGTACTAACGTGCTGTACATCGTACTGGCAAGTACTAACGTGCTGTACATCATACTGGCCCGTACTAACGTGCTGCACATCGTACTGGCAAGTACTAACGTGCTCTACATCGTACTGGCAAGTACTGACGTGCTGTACATCGTACTGGCACGTACTGACGTGCTGTACATCGTACTGGCACGTACTGACGTGCTGTACATCGTACTGGCCCGTACTGACGTGCTGTACATCGTACTGGTAATCTTTGAAATATTGATTGACAAGTTCTCACCTGAATTCCATTCTTTACATAAACTGGATGCGTCAAAATATACGGTAAATTGTTTTTAAAGTTGTAATCCTTTAAGAAACTCGTATTGTTCCTAGATTTTAATTAGACTTTCAATTTTCTAAAGACTCACTGGCAAACGTTGAACTTTTGACTTGAGTTGTTGATTTGTAGAGCTAAAGTCACAATGGGTTTAGCAAGATATGCATGGATTTGTTCATCAATTTGGCAACCCAAACCATTAAGTTGATCGGATGAGATAAAAACCTAGGAATGGAAAGATTTGAATTGGAAATTGTCATAGAATTTTATCTAATTTTATCCAATTTCATTCAATTTGATTAAATTTCATCCAATTTAATCCAATTTCATCTAATTTCATCCAATTTCAACCAATTTAATTCAATTTCATTCAATTTCATTAAATTCCATTCAATTCCACCCAATTTCATCCAATTTCATCTAATTTCATCTAATTTCATCCAATTTCAACCAATTTCATCCAATTCCATTCAATTTCAACCAATTTCAACCAATTCCATTCAATTCCATCCAATTTAATTCAATTCCATCCAATTTAATCCAATTTCATCTAATTTCATCCAATTTCAACCAATTTCAACCAATTCCATCTAATTTCATCCAATTTCATCCAATCCCATCCAATTCGATTCAACTGCATCCAATTTCATTCAACTTCATCCAATTTCATCCAATTTCAACCAATTTCAAGCAATTTCATCCAATTCCATTCAATTCCATTCAATTCCATTCAATTTCATTCAACTTCATCCAATTCCATCCAATTTCATTCAATTCCATCCAATTCCATCCAATTTTTAAGAAAACTAACTATTCGAAAAACTTTAAGTGCAAATTTAATGGAATAAAGCCGAAATGAAAGCATCGATTCCTTAAGAGATTTCATTTTTGATCGATTTCAAATGAAAACCAAAAGCTAACTTGTTGGGTTAGATAAATTTAGTGCCAAGTTTTGCCTTCACCTTAAGCTCTTCTTGATAATGTGCTTTTCTGGTGTTTTTATTATACATCCCAGAGTTGCTTAACGAGACACATCAGAAAATCAAATCGCACAACTCCAAGCGCTTGATCTAGCCTCCAGAGTATCAGATTTCAATTAACTTTTTCTTCATTTAAAAGCCAAGATTTTAGGCTATCTAAAGATATCAAATAATTAGAGATTTCTTTGGAAAAAGTGGATTAAAAAGAGAATCAACGAGACAAATGGGTCGCGCAACTTCAAGTGCTTGATCTAGCCTCCAGAGTATTGAATTCAAATGAACTTTTTCTTCATTTAAAAGCCAAGATTTTAGGCTATCTAAAGATATCAAATACTTAGATTTTTCTTTTGAAAAAGTCGATTAAAAACCTTATCGAGAATTAACAAGATATTTCCTCGTTATCTCGTTATTTCTCGATAAGGTTTTTAATCCACTTTTTCAAAAGAAAACTCTAAATGATTATTATCATTAGATAGCTTAAAATCTTGGCTTTTAAATGAAGAAAAGAATAAATGAAATCTGATATTCTGGAGGCTAGATCAAGCGCTTGGAGTTGTGCGACCCATTTGTCTCGTTGATTCTCTTATCCACTTTTTCAGAAAAAGTAGATTAAAAGATCCACTTTTTCAAAAGAAAAATCTAAGTATTTGATATCATCAGATAGCTTAAAATCTTGGCTTTTAAATGAAGAAAAAGTTCATTGAAATCCGATACTCTGGAGGCTAGATCAAGCACTTGAAGTTGTGTGACCCATTTGTCTCGTTGATTCTCTTTTTAACCCACTTTCTCAAAAGAAAAATCTAAGTGTTTGATATCTTTAGATAGCCTAAAATCTTGGCTTTTAAATGAAGAAAAGAATAATTGACATCTGATGCTCTGGAGGCTAGATCAAGCGCTTGGAGTTGTGCGATGTGTCTTGTTAAGCAAGTCTGGGATAAAAATACCTGCAAAACCCATTATCAAGAAAATCTTAAGGTCAAGGCAAAGCTTGGCACTAAATTTATCCAACCCAATCAAGCGCTTGGAGTTGTGCAACCCATTTGTCTCGTTGATTCTCTTTAAGCAAGTCTACAGGGTGCGGCATAAGTATGGTTACAAGGTTGTAACATTGATTTAAGAAACTGATTGATTTTTATTTGTTGCCAAAGGATTATTTTTTTAAATTTGAATGCTTTTTTTATATTATGTAGTAGTTTTTAAGTAAATTTTTAAGTTTGGACATAATGATGAAGGCTTCTCCCAACCGTGCCGCTATTCTTCAGCTTGGAGCACAAGGACGATCAACTTCGGATATTGCCAAACTGCTGAAAATGCATCGGATGACGGTATACCGCATTTTGCAACAAAATAGAGTCGAAGAGCTTCCTAAAAGTGGACGTCCGCCAAAAATTGATCACACAAGACTCAAGAAAATCATTAAGAAACGAATCAAGCGCAATCCTGCCCGGAGCATGAGAAAAATGGCTCCCCAATTGAATGTTTCTGATAGAACTATCCGTCGTATCGTCAAAAAGGATCTGGGCCTTCACCCTTACAAGTTAAGGAAGCATAATGGCCTGGCGAATCTTCAAATGAAAAACAGGAAGCAAAAATGTGCTCTTCTTCTTGCAAGGGCCGCAAATGATGAGCATCTGACGACGCTTTTTACCGACGAGAAATTATTCAACATTGTGCAAGTTTTCAACTTTCAAAATGATCGAATTTTGGCTCACAGTCCTCAAGAAGCAAATAAAAGTGGTCGATTTGTGGACAGGAACTCACATCCAGCAGGAGTCATGGTTTTTGCAGGGGTGTCAGCAACTGGTCGCACACCGTTGATTTTCGTGGATAAAGGGCTGAAAATTAACACAGACGTGTATCTGGACGTTCTCACAAAACATGTACGGCCGTGGAGTCAAGAACATTATCAAAATCAGCGCTGGACATTGATGCAAGACGGTGCCCCAGCGCACAAAGCAAAAAAACTCAAGAGAGGTGCCGAAACAATTTGCCCGACTTCATTTCCGCCAATGAATGGGCAGCTAATTCGCCCGATCTCAATGTTATGGATTTCTGTGTTTGGGCAATTTTGGAGAAAAAAGCATGCACAACAAAACATGCAAACGTTGAAAGTCTGAAAAAGGCTCTGAAGAAAGCCTGGGCGGAAATTCCACAAAGTACCCTGCGGGCCGCCGTGGAAAGTTATCCAAAGCGTCTTAAGCCGTTATCAAGAATAAAGGTGCCCATATTGAATAATTTGTTGTTTTTTAAATGAATATGATTACTGTTGTTAATTTTAAATAAAGTTTGCATGAATCCGTTCATATTTCGTTACGATACACGGTTCTGAGTCTGTAACCATACTTATGCCGCACCCTGTACAGTATCAAATAGTAATCCTTGGCTCGGCAAAGATTTACTATTAAATGTTTAAACAGTTTTCTGTACTCTAGATTAGACTAGATCCACAGATTAGACTAGATTAGTCAATTAATTATTGAATTTGACTTACATTCACATTCTCTGGGTACACAACAAGTCCATTCGTTCGCACATAATAACAATCATCATAGATATTATATTTATCCAATCTAATAATGAAATCATTCGCGAATTATTTCCTAGCTCACCCTGGATTGAAGAATTTTTGATTCAGCTTTCCCGCTATTTGTTGACAAACTTGATTAGCGGGATCATGGTAAGGACAATCGTAAGATCGAACTTTTGCGCATGATGGACAAGCGGCATTCATTCCCTCATAATCTCTGAATCTTCACTAATCGACAGGGAAACGGCCAAGGCCAAAATTGAATCAGAACTGGAGCCAGAGACAGGACTAGCATCAGGGTCAATCCAGTCTCAAGCCAAGACCAGGATCAGGATCGGGTCAAAACCAAGAACAGGATCAGGATCAGGATCAGGTCAAAGCCAGAGACAGGACTAGCATCAGGGTCAATCCAGTCTCAAGCCAAGAACAGGATCAGGATCAGGTCAAAACCAAGAACAGGATCAGGATCAGGTCAAAACCAAGACCAGGATCAGGATCAGATCAAAGCCAGGGCCAGGGCCAGGACTTAAAGTAAGGCATAAGACCCAACCCTGGCGAAAATGGGATACTTGTCGATGTAGCTCAGTGCTAGAGCGTTTGCCCGGTAAACGATAAGCCGCGGATCCCAGCGCCGACCATGTTTTGTATTCTCAGCCGCAACCAAAAGGACCGGCTTATCTAACTTTAACCAAAGACAAGGACAGAACAAGGATCAACCCCAGATCACAGTCAGAGTCAAACCAGGAGTCACAGTCAGATGAAAGTTGTGGAAATCCATGCAAAGCTTCGGAGAGTCAAGGTCAGTCCAGGACCAGAGACTAGGATTATGGACAGATTCAAACTAGAGAACTGGATCAAAGCCAAGTTCAAAGCCAAGACCAAAGCCAAGTTCAAAGCTACTAGAAACTAGAAACGAGAGCCAGGATCAGCGGATCTTTCCACGGACAATTCTAGAGATCAGGCTCAGCACCTGATTTTCACAAATAAATCGGCGCTCACTTTTGTGGTGTGTATCCTTTGACATAGGCGAACTCGGTGAGACTATCGAATTGATAATTCTCATTCCAAACACCGTTGAAAATCAAACCCTAAACAAATCTTTATTTGAAACCATTTTCTAAAGCTGCACAAGCAAAATAGCTATCGTAATCATCAAAGAGTTTTGAAAATTCCGATAAAATACCTTTTTCTTAAGCTTTTCTTAAGCTTTTTCTTAAACCAAACCTTTAAAGGGAACTCTTGATACCAAAGCTTTTGTTGATCAATCAAATCGAGCACATTTCTACTCATTAGCGCCACGATTTCTGCTGAATAATCCCCGGAAATCAAATAAAGATCTAAATTCTTGATTTTTCATATAAATTCGACTTGTTTACTCATTTTTTCTAGAGCTTCTAGTGTAAAACTTTTAAGGAAAAGTTTCAGAGCTGAGAAGATTTGTGAGGCTGCCTGGAAAATGGAAATACAGTCTAAAGTCTAAATTAGCTATTCTCATCACCTCATCATTGTTGGAAGCTGTCGCATTTTGCGAGAAACCTCCACCAGTTGGCAGCTCCAGAAATAGCAAGTTTCCGATCTGAAGTTAGCTTGTTTTCAGACAAATCGCGATCAGGAACTAGTTCAGAATCAGATCAGGAACTAGTTCTTGGCTTCTAGTAATCCGATAAATACTTTTTACGGGTCAGGCCTGTAGTAGAAAAGCAAAAAATGAATGAATTCAAGCCGAGCGGAACTGAAGCCTCGATCTTCCGCTTACCAGGCAGATGCTCTACCACGGAGCTATCGGCACCCCCTTTCTCCTCCCAATAAAGAGAAAGAGAAAGCCATACGAAAACTTGAGAGTGCCAAGATCAATCCAGGAGCCAAGATCAATCCAAGGGCCAAGATCAATCCAGGAGCCAAGAGTAGAGTCAGACCAGGGAAAAAAGTCAAGGCCAGGCCAGGTAAACCCAGGTTCAAGTCTAGTTGCAGGTACTGGAAGCAGTAAAGTTAGACCAAGCAAGGCAGGGACCTGTATTAGCCCTTCTCTTCCCTGATCTAGCCTAGTAAAGTCGGTTTTGGTCAATCCTGGAAGATCTGGAAGACCTGGAAGAGGATCAGGCAGGTTTATCAGCTCCGACAACCTTCTGGTATGCTCTACCACGGAGCTATCGTCACCTGCTTTCTCCTTTCCAAAAAGAGAAAGAGAAAGCCATACGAAAACTTGAGAGGGCCATCAATCCAGGAGCCAAGATCAATCCAGGAGCCAAGATCAATCCAGGAGCCAAGATCAATCCAGGAGCCAAGATCAATCCAGGAGCCAAGACCAGAGTCAGATCAAGGGATAAAGTCAAAGCTAAACCCAGGTTCAAGTCTAGTTGCAGGTACTGGAGGCAGTAAAGTTAGACGAAGCAAGGCCAGGACCTGTATTAGCCCTTCTCGTCCCTGATCTAGTCTAGGAAAATTGGTTCTAGGTCAATCCTGGAAGACCTGGAAGAGGATCAGGCAGGTTTATCAACTCCGACAACCTGCTGGTACCTTTGACTAGTCTCTCTTGACATTTCTACCACTAGCTTTAGTCTAAATTCGAAATATTAACTATTTTATTCAGTTTTTTATTCTAAATCCGTATTTAAACGAATCCTTTCACTTTCCTACAGCATTCACCTTATTCCAGGCATAATAATTCTCCGTGATTCCATTGTCAACGAGTCGATATGGACCGACATCTTTGAAAATCGAGGCAATCGGAGAGCATCCAATCTCTCCTTTCAAATAAACGATTAAATTATTCTCGAAATCTTTCGATTGAGCAGTGAAATACCTAAAAAAGATTCGATTTTATAAAAATTGAAATAAACCAGTAAAATATTGAGTTCAAATAGCCCGAATATTGATTGAAATTTGGCTGAAAATTGAGGTCCGGTAGGTTTTGAATCTAAAATTTTAGAATATCTTGTGTTTAAAGAAGGAATTCAAATTGGAATCGATTTTCACTAAAAGCAACTTATCAGCAGTATGCCCGTTGTCTAAAGTAACTTATAGCCGTTGTCTAAAGTAACTTATAGCCGTTGTCTAAAGTAACTTATAGCCGTTGTCTAAAAGAATCTATCTAAAAGTTTAGATCAATTAAGCTCAAATGTCCAAATTCTTGAGATTTCTGAAATTTGGCTGCATTTTGCGATAAATTAGCCTAATTAGCCTGCGATAAATTAGCCTACAAAACTAGCCGAAGTACTCAAGGTTGAAACTGGTGCTAGTTGCTTATCTATTCTAGAGGATGGGCAGGGAAAAATGTGGGGCGGAAGGTCGGGCGGAAAGCTTGGGGCGGAAAGTTGGAGCGGAACCTGGGGCGGAAAGTTGGGGGCGGAAAGTAGAGGCGGAAAGTTTGGAGCAGAAAGCTTGGGGCGGAAAGTTGAGGCGGAAAGTTCGAGCGGAATGTGGGGCGGAACGTGGGGCGGAAAGTTGGAGCGGAACGTGGGGCGGAATGTGGGGCGGAAAGTTGGAGGCGGAAAGTTGAGGCGGAAAGCTTGGGGCGGAAAGTTAAGGCGGAAAGTTGAAGCGGAACCATCTCCAAAGAGCTTCCAGCACTGACCCCCTCTCGGTCCCGCCCAAGACCATATCTGCCCAACATGCGCCATTATACAGTCAAACATTAATATAACGAACTTCAATACAACAACACTTCAATATAACAAACTCTAATCCAACGAACGGATATGTCACAAAGAAGCGCACTAACCACAAGAAGAAGTTGATGGAGATGTTCGACATATCGCCAATAAAATCCACGGGAAGTCGATTCATGATGTCATGGAGGAGCTGAAGCTTGATGTCTTCTTAGTCAACTGTCTGGCTTCGAACAACGAACATTTCGATATAACAAGCTTTTTGGTTGATCCCTTGAGGTTCGTTATATTGAAGTTTAACTGTACTATGGTCTGGTCCTAAATCCATTGGATTGCAATCCAGTGTTGAATCCAGAGTTGACTCCGGAGTTTGATCCAGAGTTGGATTCATAGTTGGATCCAGAGTCGAATCCAGAGTTGGATCCAGAGATGGATCCAGAGTCGAATCCAGAGTTGGATCCAGAGATGGATCCAGAGTCGAATCCAGACTTGGATCCAGAGTTGACTCCAGAGTTGAACCAGAGTTGAATCCAGACTTGGATCCAGACTTGGATCCAGAGTTGACTCCAGAGTTGACTCCAGAGTTGAATCCAGAGTTGAATCCAGACTTGGATCCAGAGTTGAATCCAGAGTTGGATCCAGAGATGGATCCAGAGTCGAATCCAGAGTTGGATCCAGAGTTGGAAGCAGAGTTGAATTCCAACTGTTGCCCTCTGATAATGGTTAAGCTTGAAACTTGCCCGAGAAGCTGATTTCTTCTTCTAGTACTTAATAAAATCACATAGAAGATAATTCTATTTTTTTTGTCAGATCTTTTTAAAACTTTCTTTACAAACATATCTATCGGTTAGATACCCATCTGTTGATAAATTTTAGTGAGAATCGATCCCAATTCGAAGCCCCAAATTTCACGAACCGTTTCATTTAGCTGAACACCAGAAATAGCTGGAATGAAAAGTAGAATTTTAATCAAAAGCAACCATTTTTTCATGATCTATAAACTTTATTGATATAGAAATAGATAAATATGGAAAAATTTCAATTCTAACCTAATCTCAGCCTTATTTCTTAGCCGTTTTTAGGGAATTTTTCTAAATTTTTCTCTACAAACACTACTAGCATATTTACTCGAATAGAAGATCGGTTTTCTATTTTGTTTCAATTACCGTCCTGGACCCCGTCTTCTCGATTTACTCGAATAGAAGACGAGCTCCAGGGCGGTGATTGAAAAGAATAGAAGGCCGATCTACCGTATTTACTCGTATTTACTCGAATAGAAGACTGGGTCCAGGGCGGTGATTGAAAAGAATAGAAAACCCATCTTCTATTCGAGTAAATACGGTAGTTTTTAAGTAAAATTACAAAATAGTTGATCAAGAAAAAAGGAAATTATAAAACTATATTGAAATCTGTTGAAATTTTTCTTAAAACCAAATGTCTTTCCGATTTGATTACGATTTCAGATTTGAAATCGAAGATTTTCTAATCTTTAGAAAGGTTGTAAGATTGTAGAGTTGTAATAGAAAGTGTAATAGATTTGAAATCGAAGATTAGAAAGGTTGTAAGATTCTAGAATTGTAAGAGAAAGTGTAATAGATTTGAAATTGACGATTAGAAAGATTAGAAAGATTGTGGAATTGTAGAATTGTAAGAGAAAGTGTAATAGATTTGAAATGGACGATTAGAAAGGTTGTAAGATTGTAGAATTGCAATAGAAAGGGAAATCGATTTGAAATCGAAGATTAGAAAGATTAGAAAGGTTGTAAGATTGTAGAATTGTAAGAGAAAGTGTAATAGATTTGAAATTGACGATTAGAAAGATTAGAAAGGTTGTAAGATTGTAGAATTGCAATAGAAAGTGTAATAGATTTCAAATCGAAGACTAGAAAGGTTGTAAGATTGTAGAATTGCAATAGAAAGGGAAATCGATTTGAAATCGAAGATTAGAAAGATTAGAAAGGTTGTAAGATTCTAGAATTGTAATAGAAAGTTTAAAGCCATAAAAAAGATTGTAAAAGGTTTGTAAAAAGGTGTAAAAGTTGAAGAAATCAAAGAAATTCTTCAGAGTTTATGATTTGTGGAATGAGAAATGCTTATCTCTTTCCACTGTTTGCAATTCTCACTGCTCTCTTTAAAAATAAAGATTATTGGATGAATTAGATGAATCATTGCATCTTTTTTTAAACAAAAACTCAAATAATTCAAGATTTATAAAAAGAATTTGAAAGAAAATTCAAGAAACGTCTGTAAACTTTGAGGAAAAACTTGCAATTACTGTTTTAAGCCGCTTTCTTTGAAGGTAAACTTTGCCTTTAGCTCGGCAGAACGGATTTCGCAATGCAAATAGCAAATAAAGTAAATAAAATCCTAAGAAAAAGTGGTGAGAAATTGAGAGATTGAGAAATTGAGTTCAAATTGATCTTCAAATGCAATGGTGATTCATTTGTACTTTGCATCTGTAAACACACAATTGCTGGTGCACTGAAGTCCTCATTTTCTCGAGTTTCTGTGAGAAATCAAGAATTCAGTGTTGTTCGACATATCGGCATTAAAATCCACGGGAAGTCGATTCATGATGTCATGGAGGAGCTGAAGCTTGATGTTTCGAAGTCAACTGTCTGGCTTCGAACAACGAACATTTCGATATAACAAACCTTTTGGTTGATCCCTTGAGGTTTATGTTGAAGTTTGACCATACTATGGTCTGCTACTAAATCCATTTGGATTTCAATCCAGAGTTGAATCCAGAGTTGAATCCAGAGTTGAATCCAGAGTTGGATCCAGAGTTGGATCCAGAGTTGGATCCAGAGTTGGATCCAGACTTGGATCCAGAGTTGACTCCGGAGTTTGATCCAGAGTTTTATCCAGAGTTAGATCCAGACTTGGATCCAGACTTGGATCCAGAGTTGAATCCAGAGTTGAATCCAGAGTTGAATCCAGAGTTGGATCCAGAGTTGACTCCAGAGTTGGATCCAGAGTTGAATCCAGAGTTGAATCCAGAGTTGGAAGCAGAGTTGAATCCAGAGTTGACTCCAGAGTTGAATCCAGAGATGGATCCAGAGTCGAATCCAGAGTTGAATCCAGAGTTGGAAGCAGAGTTGGATCCAGAGTTGAATCCAGAGTTGACTCCAGAGTTGACTCCAGAGTTGAATCCAGAGATGGATCCAGAGTCGAATCCAGAGTTGAATCCAGAGTTGGAAGCAGAGTTGGATCCAGAGTTGAATCCAGAGTTGACTCCAGAGTTGACTCCAGAGTTGAATCCAGAGTTGGATCCAGAGTTGAATCCAGAATTGAAAGAGTATCTATTGTGCAAAAGAAACACATAAAAATTATTAAAACAACATAAATAGAGGATTTTGTTTTCAACTTAAAATGAATCAAAACTCGAAACAACAAAAGCTTAAATGTTAATTTTATCGCCTTCGAATAACTGTCTATAAACGATTGAATAAATGTATGCTTTAAATGAAGAATTGTATGCGTGAAAAGGGTGTTTTTACAGATACAAGCACAAAGTACACTAGATGACTAGCTTCTCGTGCTTCTTCTTTTTCATAGCACCAATCAAAGAATGCTATGACTTTTTTTAGCTATTCATTTATGATTTCAATGTTCTCTATGATCTTCTTTGATAAACTAGATGATAAACTCTTCCAAATCTTTCCTTTTCCTTTGTTTGACCTTGAAAAGTTGTCTGACTTGAGTCAAATAAAACAGGGAAAGTTATTTTTGAGAGCCAAAGAGAGCCAAGGAGAGCCAAGAAAAGTCATCAAAAGATTTCGTCGTGAAAATTTATTTTTAGTTTCACTTTGATTGGGGAGATTGATGGATAACTTCTCTCTCTTTTCTCTCTAAAACAAACTGAAATCATTTCGATGATTTAAAACTGTGATTTTCTCTTTGAAAACTGCGATTTTTCTCTTTAAAACAGCGATTTTCTCTTTAAAACTGCAAATTTCAACGTTACCTGTGAATTAGTCCCGCTGATTTTGGCTTTTCGATACTCTTAGCTGATTTTCTCGATACTCAGCTCATTTTTTTGATACTCATAGCTCATTTTCTCATTCCTACTATGTTATTGAGCAATTCTGTAGAAATTTCTTTATCATTTTTTTTAACTTTAACTAAAAACTTTACAGCATCGTCGCTTTGTCATTGATTTAGTGGAAACTTTCAAAATCCTCCGTTGTAAACAGATTAGCCCTTTGTTTATAGACTTTTTCAAATTTAAACCGCGGTCAGGGCCCAGAAGTGGCTCATTCCTTTTGCAAATTCCCTTTGCTTCCAATGCCTCTTTATCAAATTCATTTCCCGTTAGAGCCGCTAGATTATGGAACTTGCTCCCAAACGACATACGAGAAATTCAGTCGCTTTTCATATTCAAGAAACGTATCGATGCTTTAGATCTAGTGGCTCTTTGCCGTAAGTAATTGGCTTATTGATTTCAGTATGTATTGTATGATTAAGTATCACTGTGCATTTCTCTATCATTTCTTTCACTTTATCGTTTGAATAAAGTATTATTATTTTTCCCCTTTTGACTTTATTTTAAATCCTTATTATAAAAATTTATCATTCGAAAATTCAAAATAAAAACAATTCAAAGTTTTCAGAGCAATTATGCGATTATTGTCATTCTTGCTTTTGCTAAGCCTTCTACTTCCCGTCATTTACATGAAAGTGTAAGGATTTTTATCAATAACATTAATAATTCCGATCTGATTAACAATTTTACAAGAATCTTTTGTACTTTTCGAATTTAGCTCAAAGAAACCGATGCCAATGATGACGAGGATTCAAAAACGGTGAATATTTATTGTATTGGGTTGGTGAATTGAAAAAAGCCGGCTATTGTCATCTGTGAATTGAAATCAAAAGCATTTATAATTATTGGGTTGGTGAATTGAAAACTGCGGGACTTTGAACTAAAATTTATTCAAAATAAAACCATCAATTCATTCCGGATAATTTCCATTATTATTGACGACTTCTGCTCATTTTACAGGCAATTTGAGGATTCCTCTTTCGTAGTAGGATTTTGGTTTTGAATCGAAAAACTTTCAAAGCCAATTTTTGACTGCTTCTTCCGAATCCCGAATCCGAAAGCGTTCTCCCTTAAGCTCATTACTAGTAATCATCCGGAATAAATAGTAATCAAAAGGGGCGAGGTCCGAACTGCATGGGGAATGCGCCAAAAGTTCCCGAACAAGGCCATTTATTTTACAAGAAACCAAATCTGTAGCGAACCGGAACCAAAGCTTTACCGAAAAGGAGCCGAATCTGTACCGAATCCAAAACTGAATTCAAAACTATTAGGTTGGTGAATTGAAGACTGCGGGACTTTGAACTAAAATTTATTCAAAATAAAACCATCAATTCATTCCATATAATTTCCATTATTATTGACGACTTCTGCTCATTTTACAGGCAATTTGCGGATTCCTCTTTCGTAGTAGGATTTTGGTTTGTGTGTGAGACAAGTGTGAGACTCAAAAATGGAGGACTGGAGATGTCAGCTGTCAGCCCAGTTTGAGCACTTTCTTCAAAAGAAACCCATTTTGGTGTTAATGGAAAAGTTGTAGAGAATCAAAAATTAAGCTTATATCCAAATTTCCAAAACGATTCAAAAACTGGTTTTCAAGAAATGCCAAATTTACGAATTTACACAAAACTTGCATTTTAAGCGAAACTACTAAGTGTATCTTTTTGGAAATTTGGCTATGAGCCTCATTTTTGATTCTCTACAACTTTTCTATTGACACCAAAATGGGTTTCTTTCGAAGAAAGTGCTCAAACTGGGCTGACAGCTGACATCTCCAGTCCTCCATTTTTGAGTCTCACACTTGTCTCACACACAAACCAGAATCCTACCACGAAAGAGGAATCCGCAAATTGCCTGTAAAATGTGCAGAAGTCGTCAATAATAATGGAAATTACTTGGAATGAATTGATGGTTTTATCATGAATAAATTTTAGTTCAAAGTCCCGCAGCTTTCAATTCACCAACCCAATAAAAAGTTGGCAAAAAGCTGAAAAAAAGCTGGGACTGGGAGTTGTACTGGGAGTTGCTGGATAGCAAGACGACCCTTAATGCAATCAAATACAGTGAACAGTTGGGAAAGGTGAATGAATCCCTGAAGAAGAAGAATAGGCCCTCCAAGTCAAAGATCGTTCTGATCCACGACAACGCGGGCCCTCATGTTGCAAAACTGACTCGCTCTAAAATGAACAGCCTTTGTTGGGAGCTTTTGGCGCATTCCCCATACAGTCCGGACCTCGCCCCTTTTGATTATTATTTATTCCGGATCATGAGTAATGAGCTTGCGAGAGAACACTGCGATTCGGAAGAAAGGCAAAATTTGGCTTTGGAAGTTTTTCGATTCAAAACCAAAAACCTACAACGAAAGAGGAATCCGCAAATTGCCTGTAAAATGGGCAGAAGTCTTCAATAATAATGGAAATTATTTGGAATGAATTTATGGTTGTATGTTGAATAAATTTTAGTTCAAAGTCTGGCAGTTTTCAATCCACCAACCCAATAGTAAATTTACAATCATCTAAACAATACTGCTATTCAATAAACAAATCAATTTTGTTGCTGTTATCAGCTTGAAAACTTTTGCAATAATTTCAGGCCAGGAAAACTTACTGCTTTGCCACGAGCGCCAGCAACAGTGAGTCAAACAAAACCCACTGCACAAAGGAAAGTGCCAGTTGTTGCAGTAAAAGCAAAAACTAGGTGAGACTAAGAGTTTCGAAAAGTACAAATAGAATTTGATCAATGATTTTTGAAGTTATTGTCTTAAAATATTCGAATGGCTGTCAAATTTTAGCCCACCAAATCGAGTAAAGCCCGTTGCAGTGCCCAGAAAAACTGCTGTAGTTGCAAAGCCGATTTTTTCAAAAGCCAGATTTCATTTATTGAGTTTTCTAGTTGTTTATCTATAGTTTTAGTTCAAATTTAGTGATTTTACATACTCTTGGCAACAATTATAAGATAAAATCTCAAATTTCAGGCCAAAGAAACTTGAATGGTTGGCGGGCGGCCGGGAAAGGCAGGCAAATCTGTGGGCAGAGTTGGTGGCAAAGAAACCATTGTCAGGGAAATGATTGCTTTAAAAAAAACTGTCTGGAGGACTGTCTTCAATGTCAGATTTTGTATATTCGAATAAAAGTTTTCTTAGTTTTTCAATAAAATCTCAGAAAAAGCCCGGTCAAGATCTCTTTTTAAGGAACTTTGAAAGTCAAAGCTCAGAATAGAACAACAATTGTACTTTATAAGAAGAAGTAAACCATTTAGAGCTTTAGCAAAGATTCGTATTGTTACAAGTTGGCCCAAAGCACTGCGCCACGTGATCCACTGTCGTCTTATTTCCGATATATTCCCCTTCACGGATCGATGACGTGAACTCCCAACCGTTTCCGGTGGAATTGCAAGTGAGAACGGCTCTTACTCCAAAGCGCTCACTTGTTGCGAATTTTGAGGAATCATAGTCATACTGAAATTTGATAGTTTTTTCACTCACCTTGGTCAAAACAGAGTCAAACAGGACCTAACTGGAAGCTGCTAGGCTAGAACTGAAGCCTCGCCTGGCTCCTGATCCAAGTCTAGATTAAGGTCAAGTCAAATCCAAGTCTAGGTTCAAATTCAAAGCTCAGGCCCAGTTCCAGGCCAAACTACAGGCTCAGCTCCAAACCCAGCTCCAAACCCAGCTCTAGGCTTAACTTCAGGCCCAACTTCAGACTGAACGTCAGGCTGAACTTCAAGCCCAGCTCCAGACCCACTCCAGACCCAGCTCCAGGCCCAGATTAAGACCTAAGCCCGGATTCAGCTCCAGTCCTAGCTCCAGGCCCAATTCCAGGTTCAGCTCCAGGCTCAGCTCCAAACCCAGCTCCAGATCCAGCTCCAGGCCCAACTCCAGGTTCAGCTCTAGACCCACTCCAGACCCAGCTCCAGACCCAGCTCCAAACCTAGCTCCAGACCCAGCTCCAGGCCCAGATTAAGACCTAAGCCCGGATTCAGCTCCAGTCCTAGCTCCAGGCCCAATTCCAGGTTCAGCTCCAGGCTCAGCTCCAAACCCAGCTCCAGGCTCAGATTAAGACCAAAGCCCGTATCCAGCTCTAAATCCATGTACCTGAATACGCGCTCCCAGGCCAGCGATTTCCGAGGGGCACTCCATCACACGAACCACACATCCTTGTGCATTTTGATTCAAAATATCTAAAAATCTCTCGTGATCGCCTTTGAACTCTGAAAACCTTTGGAAAACGGGATAGTCTTGTTACTAGTTGTTGTATCAATTTCGATGAGCGGTGATGTCATCGTACACTTTGCACAATCTAGAAACTTTCGCTTTCTCGCTCAACTATTGCTTTTCTTCAAACCTGTTGTCAAACAAGCGGGCACTGGAGTGAGGAGTGGATCAGCTGGTAATTGGAAACACTTATTCGCATTTGCCTCCAAATTTTTAATCTAAAACCTAAGCTATCATCAAAAGCTCTAATTGCAAAAAAAGAAAATGAACTTACCATTGGTTCTCCATGACAACATTTTGGTGGATTGGGGCAAGGAGCCTGTGGACAAGTAACTTTTCGACTTACTGGACCGCTAAAAGATGTTAAATTACTTAAAGAGACTAAGAGAGGCGAATTAGACTAAGAATGAGACACTAAACAAGACTAAGACAGACCAAACTCAGGCTAAGTCAGCTCAGAAGCAGCACGAAGCCAAGTTAGATCTGGTTTGGACACATAAAAGTTATTCAGTTTGTAAGTTTAATGCAAGTTTATGCCTTGATTAGAGGCCAGAGCAAGGTCAGAGCAAGGTCAGAGCAAGGTCAGAGCAGGTCAGAAACAAATTAGAGTAAGGTCAAGACTAAGACAGACCAAACTCAGGCTAAGTCAGCTCAGAAGCAGCACGAAGTCAAGTCAGATCTGGTTCGAGAAACTTGCCTTGCAACAGCCCTGCTTTACAATATTATACGATTTTCAAGCTTTCTCAGGCTTGACTCACATGCAAGGACATCCATGTGGACCTGATGTACAAGTTCTTGTTTGAGTGATCGTTCCACATAAACCACAAGAAGCTGTGCACGGGACAGCAGAGTTCGACCAAGAGGACCAAATTCCTGAAAAGCTTTGATATTGAAGCTAAAAAGCTTCAATTCAACGGATTACCTCCAAATGGACAAGGGCAAAGATCAAGTTTCTCTAAAATTAAATCTATTAGTACAGAAAAATTGACACAAACTGTTCCATGAGCAATTCGGTTTAACATAGTCATCAGCTCTTGTAATCGGTTTGCATTGTTTGGGCAGAACAGTGTGACCGGTTGAGCAGAAAGGAGAAGTCGGACAACGAGAACCGGGACAGGGAACGATTCGGGAATAGACACCTCTAAAAGACAAGGGGATTTTAAGTATTTTGTAAACGGGTGGCTTTTCTAGAAATAAGGGCGCTTGAATATTGCCTAATTGACTTGAATATTGCCCAGAATCAACCGGGTATTTACAGATTTAATCCTGCATTGAATTGGGTTAGACAATAGGTCTGGAGACCAAGGGTTAGACCATAGGTCTGGAGTCCAAAGTCGGGTCCATTGACTCAGGTCAGAACCGGGATTGGAACCTGGTAAGACCAAGCTAGAGTCCAGAGAGATTTGCCCAGAAATCAAATCCAAATTAGTCAGACTTTGGATCAGAAATCAGGTCAGATAAACCAAAAGTTGAGGATTTGTTGAATCATCAGTTAAATCAACGCCCAATTTCCCCTCTCAGCCTACCTCCCATGTGGTCTAGTGGTTAGGATTCGTGGCTTTCACCCACGCGGCCCGGGTTCGATTCCCGGCATGGGAAGAAATTTTTGTTTTTTTGGAAAAAATGTTGGAAAATGTGTACTTTACTGTCAAATCTCGTAAGTGCACCCTTTCTGGCGCACTTAACTCTCGTATTTCTTTACATAGTGGGCGGTACGGCAGATGGCACGTTACAAAGTGAACTCTTATAGTGAGCAGAGGTGAAACGTGTTCAAAAAAGTTCACTGCTTGTTAAATCAACCCCCAATTTCCCCAGGGTCTCGACCTCCCATGTGGTCTAGTGGTTAGGATTCGTGGCTTTCACCCACGCGGCCCAGGTTCGATTTCCGGCATGGGAAGAAATTTTTGTTTTTTGGAATTATTTTTAGAATTAATTTGTAGATATGTATTAATTTTATATATCTATTCAAATTTCAGTCTACGAGGACATCCGATTGAAATCGTTCAATCCTTTCATTGTCTTATACTCTGCAAACGACCTACACTACTGGAGAATGAAATATCATATTTGAAAAACGATCGTCACTTTCGCGCGTCTGTAACTCCCTTGTCTTTGCCGTATTTCTAAATATTAATATTACCATTGTGTAGCCCTTGAAAAGAGCTTTCAGAAAATGTATAACACTAATAGTTTAAACTCAAAGACAAAGGAGTTACAGACGCGCGAAAGTGACGATCGTTTTTCAAATATGATATTTCATTGTCCAGTACTGTACTTGCAACCACATCCATATCCCCAAGAAGCGCATGTTCTTTTCTGAATCTTTTTCCCAAAGAAGCCACAAGTTTTCGAGCACGATGTAAAATCTTTCCAAGCAGACCATTGACCTAATAAATTTGAGTGAAAGAAATCAAAAGAACAAAAGAAACAAACCATTTGGTGGGCAAGTTGTGCAACCAGGAAGCACAGCTTCATTAATAGATAAGACTGAAATATTTAAAAGTCATTTGAAAAAAGTTTGGCAAGATATTAAAGTAGATAGACTTAAAGTAGATTAAAGTAGTTTAAAGTAGTTTAAAGTAGTTTAAAGTAGATTACGGCAGTTTTTTAAAAACAATTCCCATAGTTTAGACGTCAAAAGAAAAGCACAGATCTTTTCAAAAAGCTCAAAAAGCCAAAAAGCTCACCGACAATCAAAAGAATGCTAAATGATTTAAACATTTGTGAAAATGAGCGAAAATTTCAGCTTTTCAGCTTATATTTGAGAAATTTGTGAGCAAAAATCTGCACGTTTTCGTTTTTTTAACAATCCAAAAGCACATTGGGAACATAATTGCTGGCAAAAAAGTGGTGAAAACTGTTCCCCTCAAAAATGTTTTCAAAAGATCACCGATTCGTGGTGAGATTAAACACAAAATGTGTACTTATTTGTTTAGAACAGTCTTTTGCAAAGCTGATGATGATTTGATGATACTGTGAAGTTTGATGACGAAATCGTGACAAAGCCTGAGTTCCAATTCGACTCAAGGCTTTTGGCAAAGGTTTTAGACCCTTAGCCGTTATCTAGAGAACTTCTAACCGTCACCAATCGATTCTCCGTATCGTTTTACGTAAGACAAGTTAGCTAAAAATCAGATTTACAGCTTGTGAAGCGAGCTAGAAGAGCTCAAAGCTGGGCAGAGATAAAAAAGACTTGACAACCCAACTTTGAGCTGCTCTAGCTTGCTCGACAAGCTTTAGCTAGGATTTTTAGCTGGCTCAACTTGTGTAAACTGAGGCGGAGAAGGAATCGGTAGTGGAACCGGTAGTGGTTCGACGGTCTACTAGTGATTGAAATGGTTTCCCAATCAAGTTAGATCTAGGATTCAATTCCTTTCAATTCCTTCATTGAATTCCAAGGGATTCAATTCCTTTTGGAGTTTTGCTTTTTCCAATAGAGTGTGTTCTTCTCAAGAAATATTGTGAAATAGGAAACGGGTTACGGTAGAAATCAACTGAATATTCGCTAGACCGCCGAACCACCTTAACCAGACTTTTGAAAACGCCTTAAGACTATCTAGCAAAAACTAGCCAGTTTTGTGTTTACAATGCTCATAAACAGCTAATTTTTCTATCATTCGAAGCGTCTTTCCCAAGCTCTACAAGATGTTCTATATCGAATACCGGTTCTCCAGCTGGTTCTCCAACTGGTTCTCTAGCTGGTTCTCCGACCGGTTCTCCAACCGGCTCTCCAACTGGTTCTACAACTGGTTCTCCAACTTCTCCAACTGGTTCTCCAACTGGTTCTCCAACTGGTTCTCCAACTGGTTCTCTAGCTGGTTCTCTAGCTGGTTCTCCGACCGGTTCTCCAACTGGTTCTCCAACCGGCTCTCCAACTGGTTCTCCAACTTCTCCAACTGGTTCTCCAACCGGTCCAAGCTTTCCCGCAACACTATGCCCAAATTTTTGCCTTGAATTTGATTGGATTTTTACACAAAACGAGAATGGTGATCTCTGTGAATTGATAAACCGATTTACTTTAGTCATTTCTTCATTTCTTTCTTTCTTTCCTTCTTCTTTCCTTTCTTCTTTCCTTTCTTCTTTCCTTTCTTCTTTCCTTTCTTCTTTCCTTTCTTCCACGCTTTACAATAAGATTCAAAATAAAGCTTATTTATCCATTTACACGTATTCATAGAAATAAAGTGAAATCATGAAATCACATTTGGGAAAAAATGCAAGAGGAAACAAAGAAAATGGGCAATGCAATTATCAATTGCAATTGCAATCTATTTTCCCACTTGAACGGCGATCGGTTTGTGCATTTGAGCGGGCGGGGAGATCTTTTGCGATTTTCTGAAACGATTTTAAGTAAAACTTTCAGTACCGTAATGAATCGTTGATAGAAAATGACCTTTTCCCTAAACTGCAACATCTTGTGACCATTGTGAGCACAACGGGGAGTACAATAAATGCATGTAAAAAGCCGAGAGTCGTCACCAAGACGATTGTCTGAAAAATTTCGCGATTTCCGATTTCTAAAAGGAATCTCAGTGCAAAAGTTATCGTAGTTTGATTGTTTTTTTTAAGTTTAATTCAGTTGACAATGGTCTTTAGTTTAAAATAAAATTGTAGCTTTGTTTCTGAAAAGATTACGGTAACATTACTCAACATTTTTCAGAAAACTTTGCAAAAAACTTGACTTACCTTGCAAAACACGAATGTCAAATAGCTGGGTTTCGCGAGAATTGGTAGAATTGCTAACAGACAGCAGAGAGATCCTTGCATACTTGGCCATCCGATTGAATAGAATGTTTCACGCCATCGCTCGACTGGGTCCTAGAAGATTAAGATTTTGATATGTAGATACTGTGAGCAGGTTTTGGATTGCATTTCAGTTCAGTGCATTTTTTAGTTATCACTATTATATTCCTGTTCCTCGCGGGTAAGCAATTACTCGGGTTCGTATATAAGGCGGCCAATTCGTATATAAGGCGACCAATTCGTAAAGGCGACCAATTCGTAAAGGCAGACAACTCGTATATAAGGCGGCCAATTCGTATATAAGGCGGTCAATTCCGATATAAGGCTACCAATTCGTATATAAGACGGTCAATTCGTATATAAGGCGGTCAATTCCGATATAAGGCTACCAATTCGTATATAAGACGGTCAATTCGTATATAAGGCGGCCAATTCCGATATAAGGCGGCCAATCCGTATATAAGACGGTCAATTCGTATATAAGACGGTCAATTCGTAAAGGCGACCAATTGGTAAAGGCAGACAACTCGTATATAAGGCGGCCAATTCGTATATAAGGCGGCCAATTCCGATATAAGGCTACCAATTCGTATATAAGGCGGCCAATTCGTATATAAGGCGGCCAATTTCGATATAAGGCTACCAATTCGTATATAAGACGGTCAATTCGTATATAAGGCGGTCAATTCCGATATAAGGCGGCCAATTCGTATATAAGGCGACCAATTCGTAAAGGCGACCAATTCGTAAAGACAGGCAACTCGTATATAAGACGGTCAATTCGTATGTAAGGCGGTCAATTCCGATATAAGGCTACCAATTCGTATATAAGACGGTCAATTCGTATATAAGGCGACCAATTCCGATATAAGGCGGCCAATCCGTATATAAGACGGTCAATTCGTATATAAGACGGTCAATTCGTATATAAGACGGTCAATTCGTAGATAAGGCGGTCAATTCCGATATAAGGCTACCAATTCGTATATAAGACGGTCAATTCGTATATAAGGCGACCAATTCCGATATAAGGCGGCCAATCCGTATATAAGACGGTCAATTCGTATATAAGACGGCCAATTCGTATATAAGACGGCCAATTCGTATATAAGACGGCCAATTCGTATATAAGACGGTCAATTCGTAGATAAGGCGGCCAATCCGTATATAAGACGGTCAATTCGTATACAGGCGGCCAATTGGTATACAGACGGTCAATTCGTAGATAAGACGGCCAATTCGTATATACGACGACCAATTCCGATATAAGACGGTCAATTCGTATGTAAGACGGTCCATTCGTATATAAGACGGTCAATTCGTATATAAAGCGGCGCTCGTCATTTTTTCGAGCCAATTTTTCGGAGTGAGTACTTTGCGCCAAATTTTTTGCTCAACTCGCGATAACTTTCTTCGAAGTTGGCAAATCTTGATGATTTTTGTGTCATTTTGTAGATCTCAACAAGTGCAATAAAATGACACAAAAATCATAAAGATTCGCCTACTTAGAAGAAAGTTATGGCGAGTTGCGCAAAAAATTTCGCCCAAAATGGCCACCCCCATTTCTTGTCCAATTTTTAGCAAGAATTTTCGCTAAAAGTACTGTTTAAGTTTTAAAAAACGCATTACCCGCGAGGAAAAGACGCTCTGATCATTATGGATACTCTTTGGCCGCTTCTTGAACTCTTAAACTCTTCTTAAACTTTATGAAGCGGTTTTTTAGCTGCTTTTAGCTGCTTTTAGCTGCTTTTATCCTTTTTATCCCGATTTTATTGTTAGATTACATTCAGATTTGGTAAAGCCTTACCGTTCCATGAGATTCATAGTAATGATAAGAGATATGAGTTGAGATATCAACAGAGAAACCGATTGACATCAATAAAGCAGCGATCGAGAAAGGATCAACGCCGACATTCCAAAGAGACAAGATGCCGAAAACGCCTGAAAAGACAAAAGTAGACTTTAGAATTATAAAATCTTCTAATTTCTAAAGAAATCAATGTAAAGCTATTGAGATAATTGAAGAGAATTATCTGGATAATTGGATTGGCAATTGACAATTGACAATTGACAATTGAAAACGATACTAAAACTTCCTTAAAGTCAGTCCAGTATCCTAAACTCTTTGAAAACGTTTAGCTTAAATAGAGTTGACCTTTTGAGTTGCTTTTTATACAGAGACTTCTTTATATAATTAGACTAAAACGTACCCAAGTTGACACTAAAAATGCTGAAAGCGGCCACAATAATGCTGTTCGTTTCGGGGACAAAAAGGATGAAAGCAATTCCCATACAGACAACTTCTTCAAAAAGCGTTTGCCACAAGAAAGCATTCAGTTCTTGAATCTGAAAAAATGATTTAAAACTTTTAAAGCTTAAAATTGTATTTCTCGAACTTGATCCGCGAAATCGGTTCTTTCAGAATAGACGACAACGCCAAGATCTTTGTATTTCTGGGAGAGAGATCGCCATTCTTTTAGGACTGGATACATTTCGCGATCTCTGAATTTCAAATCAATTTAATTTCATCATTTGATGATTTGATTTGATGAATTTGATGATTTTCATATATTGGATTGGTGAATTGAAAACTGCCGGCTATTTCGCGGGACTCTCAGATAAAGAAAACAACAGCATTGAACCAGTTGAAAGGGGGCTTGGTTACTTCAACATTTCCTCGAATTATTGTGAAAAAATTATGCTTCCAGCTTTTTATCTTTTGGTATTTTTCTTCACTTCTTCTATTGCACTCGACAATCATCCAATATTCGTCATGTCATGCTTCATGAGTTCCTACAAGAGCATAGTGTAGGCTGGGGAGCTGCTAATACTCTTCATGAGTTTCTACAAGGGCACAGTGCAGGCATGGCAGCTGCTAATATTCTTCATGAGTTTCTAAAAGAGCACAGCGCAAGCTTGGCAGCTGCTAATATTAAAAAGATATATGGGGAGGACTAACCTTCCGAAAGAACGTGTCGAGTATGGTTTGCCAAGTTTCGATCTGGGGATAAATCTTTGAAAGATGCAGAGGGCCATGAAGCGGCACCCCAACTGGATGACTCCAAATTACTCGGACTCATTACCAACGACCATCTGGCATCATTGCGTGAATTGGGAGAAGAGTTAGGGGTTGATCATGTTACAGTGCTAAGGCACCTTCATACCCTTGGATTTAAATCGAAACTTGGGGCTTGGGTGCCCCATGACCTCACTGACGCCCAGAAGTGGCAGTGCACCTCCATCAGTGCCGCTCATCTCTCACGATACGAAAGGAAATCCTTTCTTCCTCGAATCGTGATAGGAGATGAGAAATAGGTTTTATCTGTGAACTTTCGGAGAAAGCGGCAATGGGTGGGGCCAGGCGAGAAACCCGAAAGTGAACCTAAGCCCGATTTGCACCAGAAGAAGTTTATGCTCTGCGTTTTCTGGAATATGGAGAGAGTGATGTACTGGGAGTTGCTGGGAGTTGCTGGATAGCAAGACGACTTTTAATGCAATCAAATACAGTGAACAGTTGGGACAGGTGAATGAATCCCTGAAGAAGAATAGGCCCTCCAAGTCAAAGGTCGTTCTCATCCACGACAACGCGCGCTCTCATGTTGCTAATATTCTTCATGAGTTCCTACAAGAGCACAGTGCATGCTTGGAATGAATTTCTGGTTTTATGTTCAATAAATTTTAGTTCAAAGTCCGGCAGTTTTCAATGCACCAACCCAATAGTTTTATAAAATTAACTTAATTAAGCTTTAGTTTTCTCTAAAATGACATTAAATTTATCGATTTTATTACCTTGTGATGTTCGAGAAACCGGACATACAAACGAACGACTCAACGCATTTCGGCTCATCTTTTTGGCAACTCAACCAATTGTACTGAAACCAATTGTACCAATTACGTTTATAGATTGCGGTAAACACTTAGTCTTTCAAATATTTCACTTCAATCTTTTTCAAATCTCACCTTAAACGTGCCATTCACCCAACTCCTCTCTCCGGTCTCCATAAACTCTTCAAGCAATGTGTACGTGAAGTTGGATTGACTCTGAAAGAGGTTTAGCTAGTGGTTTAGCTAGGGGTTTAGCTAGTGGTTTAGCTAGTGGTTTAGCTAGGGTTTTAGCTAGTGGTTTAGCTAGTGGTTTAGCTAGTGGTTTAGCTAAGGGTTTAGCTAGTGGTTTAGCTAGGGGTTTAGCTAGTGGTTTAGCTAGTGGTTTAGCTAGTGGTTTAGCTAAGGGTTTAGCTAGTGGTTTAGCTAGTGGTTTAGCTAGTGGTTTAGCTAAGGGTTTAGCTAGTGGTTTAGCTAGTTTTTTTGACTTAGCTTTAATCAAATAACTTGCTAGTTTAAATTTAATAATAAAACATGATTTCTGATCAAACTACAATAGAAATTACCTTCAGCTGAAGAAATTGTAGATACAATTGAAGCCAGCAAACGGTGGTGTTCGGCCCAAGGGAATTGGGTTGCTTGTAGAGATCACTGAGATATTGATTTTTATCTGATCTTAGTCCAATTCTTCATCTTTTGGATAAAAACCCGCCTATCTTTTAGATTAGAAAGTTCTCGGAAAAGTTTGACTAGAATTTTTTCAAAACGAATCCACAGACAATAGACAATAGACAAGCCAAATGGCTTGTCTTGCCAAATGGCCAGATGCAGTCCGAGCGCACTTGTCTCTAACTCACAAAACCCGGGTTCGACTTCCCGTCCGCGTCGGCACTTTTGGTTTTGGCACATTTAAAAATTTAAAAACATGTTGCACAACTATTCTAAGCCAAACTAACTATAAATTGTTGGAGCAATAGTGCTCACAAACAGACAGACGCAGCTCTGGATGCGGAGCAATAGTGCTCACAAACAGACAGACGCAGCTCTGGATGCGGAGGAATGGTGCGCACAAGCAGGCAGACACAGCTCTGGATGCGGAGCAATAGTGCTCACAGACAGGCAGACACAGCTCTGGATGCGGAGCAATAGTGCTCACAAACAGACAGACACAGCTCTTTTATATAGTAGATTAGATCACTGATTCGATTAGCAATCAGTACTCACTCAAAAAATCCGAGCACTCTTTGCATTTGCGTTTCGTTGAGTAAATTGCCCGGGTGTTGCATGATGATCACGTCAGATTGCATTGGCTAAACGAAAAATTCTATTTATTTGTTGATTGCTGTGTACAGGATGACTGCAATTAGGAAAGCAGCGTACTACTCGCATTACAGTAAGCTTATATTAGCAAAAAACTTTATCAAACTTTTACTGTAGCTGTAGCTTTAACAACATTGAGATTTTGAAATTACAACCAAAGAATGGCACGAAAAAAATTCAATCACCAGTTAATAGAACCCCCAATTTCCCAACGGTCTCGGCCTCCCATGTGGTCTAGTGGTTAGGATTCGTGGCTTTCACCCACGCGGCCCGGGTTCGATTCCCGGCATGGGAAGAGATTTTTGTTTTTTTGGAAAAAATGTTGGAAAATGTGTGCTTTATTGTCAAATCTCGTAAACGAACCCTTTCTGGTGCACTTAAATCTTGTATTTCTTTACATAGTCATCGGTAGGCCAGATGGCGTTGACAAAGTGAACTCTGATAGCGAGCAGAGGTGAAACGTGTTCAAAAAAAGTTCACTGCTTGTTAAATAAACCCCAAATTTCCCCAGGGTCTCGACCTCCCATGTGGTCTAGTGGTTAGGATTCGTGGCTTTCACCCTCGCGGCCCGAGTTCGATTCCCGGCATGGGAAAATTTTTTTTGGAAAACTGTTTTTATCTTCCCAATTGAATGGAATGTACTTTGGAGAGATTTCTTGCAAACACACCCTTTCTGGCACACTAAAGTCGTAGTCTTTTCAATAATTTTGATGATTCTTGGCTTGGATTCATTGCTTTCACCCAAGCAGGCCAGGTTCGATTCCCGGTGTGGGAAAAGATTTTTGTAAATTTAAGAAATTCACATTCAAAGAATTCAAATTCAATTATTTTACTGATTAAAGTTTCCTATATTATTCAGCTTTTTTGTTTTCTCAAATCCCGCACCAATTGCGCTCGATCCCATTCCTCTTTGAATTGTGCCATTTTCGACTCTTTTGGAGCCAAATCTTTCAAATCCATATCAGAAACGACATGCGTTGTTCCATAAAATGAAACACTCCAATAGATAATCAATAGCTGAAAAGGTTTATTTGAAATTTGAATTTTAAAACAATCATTTACCGCAAAGATGATCATTGGAGACCACCATTTTGAAATAAAGCTCACAATTGTGTTGAAAAACTTATTATGAATTTGGCGAAGGGTTTCAAAAAATTGTCGACGAAATTTGCTCACTTTTCTAAACAAAATTTTTAATACATTTTTTGAATGCTAAAAACGAACTTGACTTCTCGATATTCACGATAGGAAAATAGAGCGATAATTGCCGGGAAAAGGAGCACTTCGAACGTGTAAACCATTAATGAAGCCACAACGGAATAGATGGAGAAAACCTGGAAAGTTTGATGAGTCAAGTTTACAATCAAAACTTCATTTTGTTTTCTCAAGTAAACTAAAGAGTAATAAACCAGTTCTGGAGCTTTTTCTAGAGTCATTTTTGAGAAAATGACATTGGACATTATTGCGAAACATTATACAGGGTGACTAAGAATTATCGCAACAAGAAACGCAACAAGAATGCTTGATCGGCTAGAAACAGCAAGGCTTGATCAGCTAGAAACAGCAAGGCTTGATCGGCTAGAAACAGCAATGCTTGATCGGTTAGAAACAGCAAGGCTTGTTCGGCTAGAAACAGCAATGCTTGATCGGCTAGAAACAGCAAGGCTTGTTCGGCTAGAAACAGCAATGCTTGATCGGCTAGAAACAGCAAGGCTTGTTCGGCTAGAAACAGCAATGCTTGATCGGCTAGAAACAGCAATGCTTGATCGGCTAGAAACAGCAAGGCTTGTTCGGCTAGAAACAGCAAGGCTTGATCGGTTAGAAACAGCAAGGCTTGATCGGCTAGAATCCTGGAATGACCCTGACGATCAAGCGAATCGGTTTCCGGATCTCTACGCAACAATACAAAAAGCAAAAAGCAGAAAATGTTCTTATTATGTTATGAGCCCTATTTCACTTTTTGCTTACCTGTTTTTATGGTTTTTTTGTGTATTTTTCTTATTTTATCGTATGATTACTAACTTTCAATACATTAGTATCGTTGTTTTCAGGAATGCTGAAAGAGTCTCCACATCGACAATCGATCCTTGAGCTCAAGTGGCAGCTTTTCAGGCGGCTGTTCAGGCCAGCGAGATCTCAAAACGTCTGAATGTCCCCAGAAGCCTTCCTCGAACCATTCAACTGGGCACAGTTTCTGATGGTTGTTTTCAGGAATGGTGAAAGCGTCTTCACATCGACAATCGATCCTGGAGCTCAAGCGGCAACGTGTTCAGGCGGCTGTTCAGGCGAGCGAGCTCTCAAAGCGTCTGAATGTCCCCAGAAGCCTCGTTTCTCGAACCATTCAACGTTATGAAACCCTGGGCATAGTCTCTGATTGCCCTGGAAGAGGTGCAAAGCGAACAGCGGTTACTCCGGCTAGTGTCAAGAAAGTGCGCGATCGTCTAAGATTAAACCCTAACCAATCGGAAATAGAAAACTCTGAGAAAAGGAGTGTTCACCAGTTAAATCAACCCCTAATTTCCGAACGGTCTCGACCTCCCATGTGGTCTAGTGGTTAGGATTCGTGGCTTTCACCCACGCGGCCCGGGTTCGATTCCCGGCATGGGAAGAAATTTTTGTTTTTCTTGGAAAAATGTTGGAAAGATTTACAAAAATATTATAAACTTACGCGCAATGAAGATGTTGTGGCAGCAATTCCTGTAGCGAAAGAGATCGTGTTCGTTACAGTGGTCACAGTCATCGAGACGCCGGAGTGCTAAAGAGGTAAGGCTGTTTTTTTGGAATATTTTTATCAATTTTTACAGAATTATCAATCAATTCACTGCTTTTTTATGTAAAAATCACGATTCTTTACACTCTTACCGATAACATTTGCGCGGTTCTTTCAGGAGTCGAATCAGCCTTGTCCGTTTTATACCACGCCGAAGTCATGATGAATAAATGGTCAAAACCTTGAAACAAAAAGAAGTTATTCTATGATTGTAACATTGTGACGGGCTTTTTAAAGTGTTTTACCCACCAACAGCCAACAGCAAGAACATTGACGAGACAGCCATGCTCTGGAATTCGACACCAATTCCCGAAACGAAACCGATTGTTGTGATTGTTGCCAACAATGGGACACAACTGCCCAAAAAACATTCCAATGGTTTGCTCATATTGGGATCTTCTCTAAAAAAGATTCAAAGGTGAGTCTTTAGTGCTTTAATTTCCCAGCCGCTTATCCTTCTATGTGGTCTAGTGGTTAGGATTCATGGCTTTCACCAACGCGGTTAATCCTGCATTGAATTGCAGGACTAGACCAGAGCCAGGTCCGGGAATCAGGTCAGAACCGGGATTGGAACCTGGTAAGACCAAGCTAGAGTCCAGAGAGATATCAAATCCAAATTAGTCAGACTTTGGATCAGAAATCAGGTCCGATAGGTCAGATAAACCAAAAGTTGAATAATCAATCATCAGTTAAATCAACCCCCAATTTCCCCCAGCTCTCGGCCTCCCATGTGGTCTAGTGGTTAGGATTCGTGGCTTTCACCCACGCGGCCCGGGTTCGATTCCCGGCATTGGAAGAGTTTTTTGTTTTTTTTTGGAAAAATGTTAGAAATTCTTTTTAGAATTAACAATTAGATGTGTAGTAGTTCTTATATGAAATTTTATATCCAAATTTCAGACGAATGACCCGATCGAAGTCGTTCAAATCTACAACGACTACAGCCAAGCGGAAACAAAGTCAGGACCGTAAAAAGTACTGCAAGAACCAAGTACTGAAACAGGGAAAGAGGCCAAGTATTGCATGGAAATGCTACAGTAAACAGATTGACTACTTGTGAGAAAGCTCAAGCTCTTAACCGAAGTGTAAACTTGCCAGAAACAGCAATGCTTGATCAGCTAGAAGCCCGGGATGGCCCTGACGACCAGGCGAATCAGTTTCCGGATGTCTACGCAACAATACAAAAAACAAAAAGTAGCAACTCTCCTAAACGCCTACACGACGTTACTGGCTATTGACACACCGTGTAGTCCATTTTTTTTGTATCCCGATCCGCCTAGCCCTGTTGACGACCTGACTTTGGTTGTTTTGACCTTGTATTGACCTTGTTTTGACCTTGTTTTCAACCAGTTTTCACACCATTCTTAACGGATTCGTTTTCAAAAAAACCTATTCACTGAATAGCGGCTAGATTCTGTAGCTGAATTCTTTGCAAAATCCGATTCCACACAATTCTTAACGAATTCCTTTTCAAAAAACCTATTCACTATGAGTAGCGGCTAGATTACTGTAGTCTAATTCTTTTTCCAATGCAAAATTCAATTCTCTGTCTCACCTCAACGAGCAAATCACATTAAACGAAAGTAAAACGACGAAAACCAAGGCGAAGAATGGCGCGATATCGTCTCCGATTTTCTAGGATTCGAATTAGATTGGAAAATTAGCATAATTTGCATAATTTGTATAATTTGCATGATAATTTGTATGATAATTTGTATGATAAGGGCCCTCATGGTGTATTGATTAAATTCTCACTTCCAAACTGAGGGTGTGGGGTTCGGTAGGGTTCTCTTCCGAACCCTAGGGTTCTCTTCCCTAGCCCGTGCGCTAGAGGTCTCTTCTCTAGAGCTGACTAGAGATCCCTTCTCTAGCGGAGTTCACTCTTCCACTGGGTTGGCCCATTCATGGCTTGAGGTTATTAAAGCAAGAAGCCTATCTTCTATCTATCTTCTTTTCTCCCCGCCTCCACATCGCCGAGTAAAATATCTCATCTTTCTCTATGTATTTATGTGTAGATTTGTGTATTGTCTGACTGATTACGCTTTATTTCATGTCCTGAATAAAGTATGAATATAATCTATATTTTAATGCTATAAGATACCGTATTCTTTCATTAGTTTTGTAAAATTTTACCTTAACTTCTTTGCTCATGATGTTCTCCGAGGCGACTCCGCCCTTTAAATTTGGATATTTCCCGGACTCATAAATGAGTTTGAAGATCTGAAAAATTGATTTTTCTCTTTGTTTTTATATATAAATTAATTTATAATCAACATTTACCTCTAAATATTAATAGATTTATTAGGGTGGTGCAAAAGAAACTGCCGATTGGTATCAGCTCTCATTTATCAGAAACCAGCGATGCTAACGGCATTATAGCATGTTTGAGGAGCTTGACCTGACGATAACTATTGTTTCTTTCGTGTTTTATTATCGAAATAGATCCAAGTTTCATCAGAAGTTTCATCCTCTTGAATTTCTGCCATCAAATCCACATCAGTCACTCCTAGAGAGTGCCTCTCATGCAGCTCATCCTGGAGACTTTCGTTGCCACTTTGAAAGCGTTGTAACTATTAGGGTGGTGCAAAAGAAACTCCCGATGGGTATCAGCTCTCATTTATCAGAAATGAGCGATGCTAACGGCATTATTTTTTTATGTTTTGTTCGCATATTTGTTTGCTATTCATTTGGACATTTGAATTGTTTGGTTGTTGTTTGTTTTATTTAAAAATGCTATTATTAGGTTCCTACTTGGTTCTTATTTGATTCTTATTTGTTTCCTTGTGGTTCCTATCTGGTCCCTATCTGGTCCCTATTTGGTTCCTATTTAGTTTCTATTTAGTTCCTATTTAGTTCCCATTTAGTTCCCATTTAGTTCCTATTTAGTTCCTATTTAGTTCCTATTTAGTTCATATTTAGTTTCTATTTAGTTCCTATTTAGTTCATATTTAGTTCCTATTTAGTTCCTATTTAGTTCCTATTTAGTTCCCATTTAGTTCCCATTTAGTTCCTATTTAGTTCCTATTTAGTTCCTATCTAGTTCCTTACAGTTCCTATCTGGTTCCTATTTAGTTCCTGAAAAGAAACTCCCGATGGGTATCAGCTCTCATTTCTCAGAAACGAGCGATGTTAACGGCATTATTTTTTCATGTTTTGTTCGCATATTTGTTTGGTATTTATTTCGACATTTCAATTTTTTGTTTATTTTATTTTTAAATGCTTATATTTTTTATTTAGATCATGGTCGAGCAAAAGTTTGTGTTACGAGCAGCATTACTGTTTAACCTCAAAATTGGAAAGTCTGCTGCCGAATCGCATCGTTCTGTGCTCGCATCGTTCTGTGCTGCTTTCGGAGATGGCTGCGGAGATGGCAGTTTGTCTCTCAGACAGTGTCAGACTTGGTTTCAACGATTCCGAGAGGGAGACGAGACTTTGGAAGATTATGAGCACGGTTCGAGGCCAGAAGTCGTGAACGAAGCCAAGCTGAGGGACGTTATTCAGGCCGATCCATGCCAATCTGCTCGAGATCTTGTGAAAATATTCCATTGTGATCGTGTCACCATCGAATGCCATCTTTTTTTTTTAATTTACCGTCAAATCGGCAGTTTCTTTTGCACCACCCTAATATAAGCGCTTTGGACTGTTTGGAAAGAAAACTTCTGTGTAAAATTTCTTTAAAATGTCAATTACAGAAAAGCTGTCGCATGAATTTTAAAAACACATCGATTTACGAAATCAGCACATTTTTCTGCCTCGAGTGAAATGTCTCGCGTGAAATTCCTATAGAATTAATTTTTCTCAACCTTATTTCACGCGGATATGACTCGGCTCAAAACTGGCTACAACTTTTTCAGGAGATTTTCATAAAATAAACATTTTTGAAGTGTTTAGCTGATAGAACTGTATTGGGATCAAATAGTAACGGTATTGGAACCTTATTGGAACCGTATTGGAACAGTATTGAAACCGTATTGGAACCGTATTGGAACTGTATTGGAACCGTATTGGAACCGTATTGGAACCGTATTGGAACCGTATTGGAACTGTATTGAAACCGTATTGGAACTGTATTGAAACCGTATTGGAACCGTATTGGAACCTTATTAGATCAAAAAAGAACCGTATTGAAACCGTATTGGAACCGTATTGGAACTGTATTGGAACAGTATTGAAACCGTATTGGAACCGTATTGGAACAGTATTGAAACCGTATTGGAACCGTATTGGAAACGTATTGGAACCGTATTGGAACTGTATTGGAACCGTATTGGAACAGTATTGAAACCGTATTGGAACCGTATTGGAAACGTATTGGAACCGTATTGGAACAGTATTGAAACCGTATTGGAACCGTATTGGAACCGTATTGGAACCGTATTGGAACAGTATTGAAACCGTATTGGAACCGTATTGGAAACGTATTGGAACCGTATTGGAACAGTATTGAAACCGTATTGGAACCGTATTGGAACCGTATTGGAACCGTATTGGAACAGTATTGAAACCGTATTGGAACCGTATTGGAAACGTATTGGAACCGTATTGGAACTGTATTGGAACCGTATTGGAACCGTATTGGAACTGTATTGGAACCGTATTGGAACCGTATTGGAACCGTATTGGAACAGTATTGAAACCTTATTAGATCAAAAAAAGAACCGTATTGGAACCGTATTGGAACCGTATTGAAACCGTATTGGAACCGAATCAGCGCATTTTTCTGCCTCGAGTGAAATGTCTTGCGTGAAATTCCCATAGAATTAATTTTTCTCAACCTCAAATCGGCAGTTTCTTTTGCCCAACCCTAATAATATAACATTTACCGCTAAATATTCATAGAATTTATTTTAGATTCAAGCTCACTTTATCTTCCCATCTAAATAACGTATCCTGATCATCGTAGCCCATAAAAAGTCGAAGCACTGTCGTGTTGTAATTCTAAAATCACCTTTTTTTATCTAACAAATTGCTTAATTCACATATTAATGCTATAAAAATCACTCTTCAAAAATAAAAATCACTTTCAACCTTCATTACCTTAACAAGCTTTGTTCCCGGATAGAATTCCACATCGTACATCGTATAGCCGTTATAGATTTGAACAACTTCAGTTGGATCGTCCTCGTAATCTGAATTTGTTTATAAAATCTATCCAACAAATCTAATCATTAATTCTAAATATAAAAACAATTTCTAGAATTTTTCCAATAAAAACAAAAATTTCTTCCCATGCCGGGAATCGAACCCGGGCCGCGTGGGTGAAAGCCACGAATCCTAACCACTAGACCACATGGGAGGTCGTGATCGTGAGGAAATTAGGGGTTGATTTAACTGATTGATTGATTGATCGAATCAGCGCAATAACTTTTGGTTTATCTATCTAACCGAAAGGTATTTAGTTTGATTTCTGATCGAAAGTCTAGCTAAATTGGATTTGATTTCTGGGCAAATCTCTCTGGACTCTAGCTTGGTCTTACCAAGTTCCAATCCCGGTTCTGACCTGGTTCATGGACCTGTCTTTGGACTCCAGACCTATGGTCTAACCCTGCAATTCAATGCAGAACTAAATCTGTAAATACCCGGTTGATTCTGGGCAATATTCAAGTCAAATTTAGTGTCCTTATTTCTAGAACAGTTTGCAAAATATTTAAAATCCCCCTTCTTTTAGCGGTGTCTATTCCCGACGTTTCACCTCTGCTCGCTATCAGAGTTCACCTTGTTAAACGCGTGCCATCTGGCGTACCGCTGACTAGGTAAAGAAATACAAGATTTAAGTGCGCCAGAAAGGGGGCATTTACGAGATTTGACCTTAAAGCACACATTTTCCGACATTTTTCCAATAAAAACAAAAATTTCTTCCCATGCCGGGAATCGAACCCGGGCCGCGTGGGTGAAAGCCACGAATCCTAACCACTAGACCACATGGGAGGTCGAGACCGTTGGGAAATTTGGGGTTTATTTAACTGATGATTGAATTTTCAACAAACCATCGCCATCATCATCTCCAATTAAACTCTCCTCCCCTTCAGCCACATCTTTGTTGTCAAACCAGGGATAAGTCATATTCTAAAAAGTTTTATCAAATAAAAATCATAGAAATTTAAATAATATACCATTTTTATCAAATCTAGTCAAATTTTACAATAAATTACTTTACAAAACTCACTTGAGATCCGAAGAAACCAGTTCTTTTCAATTGGATGAGTTGTGGAGCAAGGATTTGCTTTTTAAAACGACCGGACATGTCCATAAAAGTCAAGTTTTGACCAAGATGATTACTAAATTTTGAAAATAATTCTAATAATTCGATCTAAAGCCCTTTAAGCCCTTAAGAATTCGATCTAAAGCCCTTTACTCACGTCACATTCATCGCGATCACTTCGGTCATAAAATCGCCCAATTGATTCATATTCTCTTGATTCCCGAAGAAGCCTTGACCGTCCGTTGTTTGAATGATTACCTGGAAAAATTGATGGAAACATCTGGCTTATAGGCTTCTTCTAAGCCAGATTTAAAGTCTTCTAGATCTTCTAGATCTTCTAAAGATCTTCTAAAGTCTTTCTAAAGTCTTCTAAAGTTTCTAAAGTCTTCTAAAGCCTTCTAAAACCTTCTAAAGCCTTTTAAAGTCTTCTAAAGCCTTCTAAAGCCTCCCAAAGCCTTCTAAAGCTTTCTAAAGCCTTTTAAAGCTTTCTAAAGACTTCTAAAGCCTTTTAAAGCCTTCTAAAGTCTTCTAAAGTCTTCTAAAGTCTTCTAAAGACTTCTAAAGCCTTCTAAAGCTTTCCAAAGTCTTCTAAAGTCTTTCTAAAGTCTTCCGAAACTTTCTAAAGTCTTCCGAAGCTTTCTAAAGTCTTTCTAAAGTCTTTTAAAGTCTTCTAAAGCTTTCTAAAGGCTTCTAAAGCTTTCTAAAGCTTACCAAAGTCTTCGAAAGTCTTTTAAAGTCTTCTAAAGCCTTTCTAAAGACCTTCTAAAGTTTCTAAAGTCTTCCAAAGCCTTTCTAAAGTCTTCTAAAGTCTTTCTAAAGTCTTCTAAAGTCTTTTAAAGCCTTCTAAAGCCTTTCTAAAGACTTTCTAAAGTCATCTAAAGCCTTCTAAACCTTTCGCCTTACCAAAACAATATCCAAAGCATTGTTGTCAGCGAGAAATTCTTGTACAATGTTCCATTCTCTTTTTGACGGCGCTTCGGACGAGACGAACGTTTCTCGGGGATTGTTTTTCTGAAGAAGATAATTTATATCAAAATTTTTCAATTCGTACTGTAACAGATAAAGATTAAAAGGCCAAATTCTAATTTTCAGTCTAGATAGTTGAAATCTTTAATAGATTCGGGTCGTTGTTTAGCAGAAACGCACGCTTTCTGATGCATTTACTTTATAGTTTATCGCTTGTACTTTGTGCTGAAGAGAAGCAGAAACGTGGGATTTCTTTTGCATTGGCTTTATAGTTGCTTGTACTTTGAGTACTTGTGCTTAAGAGAAGCAGAAACGTAAGCTTTCTGCGTAAACGTAAGCTTTCTAGTGCATCAGAAAGTGTGCGTTTCCATTGTCGAATTCACTGACCTCATGAAATCTCATCAGTCCAAACAAACTGCATCCAGTGATCGATAAAACGATGAGTATAAATAGCCATGGTCTTTTCCCGATTTGCCATCCAATATGATAGAAGATTTTCTGAATAAAAAGCATTTTGCAAAGATTTAGAATTCTTTGAAAAGTTCAACTGGTTTATATTTCGAAAAAATCCTCAAGAAAAACATCACCTGGCACGAATAAATCAAAAAATGAACAGAAAGAACAGAAAAATGTGTATGGGATATGGAAATTTCTCTCCGAAACTTGTTTATCTCATTTTTCGATTCAGAAAACAAAGCTGATGGATGTCAAGAGTCAAGGTTAAAAGTTGGGCAAACGGTTTTCATGGGAATCTCTTGGGTTCTTGACTGGAAAAAGGAGAATCTCTTATTCGTTGAACTGAATGGATTGATCAAATTGAACAAATTGAATGGATTGAACAAATTGATCAAATTGATCAATGGATGATTAGATAAGTTAGACTTATTAGATAAGTTTAAGTTAGACTATTTTTTGGTTCAATCCACTGCAGTTCATTAATTGATCCATTTCTTTGCTCAAAAATTACTGAATAAGTCAATAAAGCTTAGGCTTAGGCTTAGGCTTAGGCTTGGACTTAGTGCGTAGGCTAGCGGCTAGCGCCTAGCACTAAGACTATTTGGGTTTGAGCTGAACCCCCATTTTTTGGATCTCAGCGAGTTCTGGGAGCTAAGGCACACCCGTTTGGTGTTGTACATGCGCCCCCCCATAGGAGCATCCTGGCATTAGGCTTAGGCTTAGGCTTAGGCTAGAGCTTAGGCTTAGGCTTAGGCTTAGGCTTAGGCTAGAGCTTAGGCTTAGGCTTAGGCTTAGGCTAGGCTAGGCTTAGGCTTAGGCTTAGGCTTAGGCTTAGGCTTAGGCTTAGGCTTAGGCTTGCAAAAGCTTACAAAGCTTACAAAGCTTACAAGGCTTATGCAAAGGAGAGTCTTTTCCTTCCCAAATCTTCTCAAAGAAAACACAATCCAAGAATGCGTCCATCTAAGCATAAATGAAAGAATTTTTAGGTGGTAGTTGAGGAAAAAATCATCCTTAAAAATAAGGTGGAGAAAGAATAGATTCCTCGTTGAAATAGAACCCAAAAGAATAAGAAATGCCACCCAAATAAGAAAATTTAGGTGGCAAGATGGTTGTTTTTCTGTGATGCGCTAATAAACTTCGAGTTCTACTCTTAAGCTTCGACTGTTTTACTCTTTGTTCTACTCTAGCGTTCGCCACTGAACTCCCCAACTAATCCGCTTAAATAGTCGACTTAATCACCCAAATTATCCACTATTAGAACAAGTAAAAGTGAAAATGAATCCACTGGAAAGAAATCTGGGTTTCAAATTGATTAGTGCATGGCATCAACAAGAAAAACAGGCAACAGAAAAAAAGTTGAGACGTTTTTTCAAGCCCTATTTTGTGACCTCGAAATTTGACAAGAATGAAGATAATTTTAAAAGACAAATACACCATTTTATAGAGCTCGTTTCAAGCTTTCAGAATCACTATAAAACTTCTAGTCTACGATGGAAAGGCTTTGATTTATAGCTCTTCAAAGATAGAGAAAAATTCGTCAAATGACTTTTGCTGTCAGATGATAAACTGTAAAGAAATCTGGATATTCTATAGCATTCTATAAGGATTTTTCAAGCATTTAATTGGCATTTAAATGACTTTTCAAACTTTTCACTCACTTTGATCGCTTCTTCGCAAACCGTTGTACATAATCGCATTCTGAAATATCTCTTTTGTTCTCTTTTCGGTGTTGCAAGAGATCTTTCTGGATCCAACGAGGTGACTGATGGAGTTGGTGAAGTTGAGGGAACTGAAAAGATTGAGATTTAGAAATTCTATGTAAAAAAAATCATTTTTCTAGACATGGACACTATAAACTACAAATGTAAACTATAAACGCTTCTAACTTTCTTTAAATCTACCGGATTGACATGAACTATAGCTTAAGAAAAAGAGAAACTCAAGAGCTTTCAAATGAACTAAAGCCCACTCAAAATAACCAATTCTAAAGAAAGTTACAGTGGTTTATAGCTGACTCGATTGTTTTGAAGATACGAGTACGGTTCTAAGGCTGTAACTTTCTTTAGAAATGGTTATTTTGAGTGGGCTTTAGTTCATTTGAAAGCTCTTGAGTTTCTCTTTTTCTTAAGCTATATATCATGTCAATCCGATAGATTTAAAGAAAGTTAGAAGCATTTGTAGTGTGACAATTCGTCATCTTTTTCATTTTTATAGTTTAAAGTGCTCATTTCTATTAATTAATAGGAAGATTTTCGATTTAAAAGTAAAAAGAGTTTAAAAACTCTATAATTTTAAAGAATTATAAGTAAAAAATAAAGTTTAACTGTTGTTTTTGTAAGATTTTTGATTTTCAAGGTGTGAAAACGGGAATTGAATTGAAATTGAAGGTAATCAAAAGTGTTTTTGTGGTGAACGGCTGTTTGCAACGATCAGAACAACACTTTGAAAGTTTCATTGATTTAAAAATTAGGTAATGACTGAGGGATTTTGTTTTAAAACAGGTATTTTTGTTTTAAAACAAACAGGAGTTCCAAAAAAAGAGGTATTTCGATGACATCACTTTCAAGGATTCTTTACAAAAGATCAAAGAGAGGGAAAAGTTATTGTGGATGGGAGAAGGGAATAAAAATGTTGAGCAATGATGGAGTTTTGAAACCTTGGACTCGGAAATTGCAAAAAAACCATCAACCAAGAGTCAAATGCTTTCATTAGTCTTGACGTCATTGTTCTAGAGTTCTAGAGTTCTAGAGCGTTCTAGAGTTCTAGAGAGTTCTAGAGCGTTCTAGAGTTCTAGAGCGTTCTAGAGTTCTAGAGCGTTCTAGAGTTCTAGAGCGTTCTAGAGTTCTAGAGCGATTCATTTTGTGTACTTTAATGTCAAATCTTGTAGACGCACCCTCTCTGGCAGACTCGAGAATGAAAATGTTGGGTGATGATCGAGGTTTGAAACCTTGGACTCATAAAAATTGCAAAAAAACCATCAACCAAGAGTCAAATGCTTTCATTAGTCTTGACGTCATTGTTCTAGAGTTCTAGAGCAGTAGATCAGTTAATTTTATGTACTTTAATGTCAAATCTTGTAGACACACCCTCTCTGGCAGACTCGAGAATGAAAATGTTGAGTGATGATGGAGTTTTGAAACCTTGGACTCATAGAAAAAAAGAGAGCAACCAAGAGTCAAACGCTTTGATTAGTCTTGACATCATTGTTCGCTCTAGAACTCCAGTTCTAGAGCGTTCTAGAGTTCTAGAGCGTTCTAGAGTTCTAGAGCGGTTCATTCTGTGTACTTTAATGTCAAATCTTGTAGACGCACCCTTTCTGGTACACTTGAAAATGAAAGTTTTGAGCAATGATGGAGTTTTGAAACCTTTGACTTAGCGAAGTTGCAAAAAAACCATCAACCAACGGTCAAACGCCTTGATTAGTCTTGAAATCATTGTTCTAGAGTACTAGAGCAGTATATTGGTTCACTCTGTGTACTTTAATGTCAAATCTCGTAAATGCACCCTTTCTGGCGCACTTAAATCTTGTATTCCTTTACATAGTCAGCGGTATGCCAGATGGCACGCGTTTGAAAGTGAACTCTGATAGCGAGCAGAGGTGAAACGTGTTGAAAAAAGTTTACTGCTGGTTAAATAAACCCCAAATTTCCCCAAGGTCTCGACCTCCCATGTGGTCTAGTGGTTAGGATTCGTGGCTTTCACCCACGCGGCCCGGGTTCGATTCCCGGCATGGGAAGATTTTTTTGGAAAACTAGTTTTTATCTTCCGAATTGAATGGAATGTACTTTGGAGAGATTTCTTGCAAACAAACCCTTTCTGGCACACTAAAGTCGTAATCTTTTCAATAAAGCAAAGAAATGTGGACCAGAAATGTGCAAAATTTGGTTTGAAATTACAAATCACTGAACATAGCCATTAGGGGCTTGACTATCCAATCCACTCACTGCAAAATTACTGTATAACTGATACAGTAATTCCATTAGAGTTTATGCACTTTGTTATTCAATTATTCAACAGGAAAACCACTCAATAGAGTACGCTAGGAAGGGTGTGTTTCCATTTTTGAGCTAAAAGAACACTTCAACGAAGAGGGCTATCAAGTGATGAAGGTTTAAGAAATGCTATAGATGCTAGAAATAGAATAGAATCTAGAAATACAGCAAGATCTAATCACTTCAAAATTACTATCTAATTCTAAAGATAAAAACAATTTCCAACATTTTTCCGAAAAAATAAAAATTTCTTCCCATGCCGGGAATCGAACCCGGGCCGCGTGGGTGAAAGCCACGAATCCTAACCACTAGACCACATGGGAGGTCGAGGGACTGGGGAAATTAGGGGTTCATTTAACTGGTGGACACTCCAGGCTTTCAAATAATACTAAGAAATGATACTGCTCTTCATACAAAACTTTGAGCGCTGATAACTTTTGACAGAGTGCTGCGTTGCAAAAACGGAAAGCAGCTTCGGAATCAGCGCAAAATTCCGATGACATGGACCGAATGGTCCACGGGATCCATTAATCCTTTTCTTGTAAACATTCATTGAATAATCCAGACTAAGAAATCAAAGGAAGCACTGAGAAAACGCCACTGAATCTCGCTTGATTTCCAAGGCTTGAAAGCCACGAATCCTAACCACTAGACCACATGGGAGGTCGTGATCGTGAGGAAATTAGGGGTTGATTTAACTGATTGATTGATTAATCGAATCATCGCAACAACTTTTGGTTTATCTATCTAACCGAAACGTACTTAGTTAGATTTCTGATCGAAAGTCTGTCTAGTTTGGATTTGATTTCTAGGCAAATCTCCTTGGACTCTAGCTTGGTCTTACCAGGTTCCAATCCCGGTTCTGACTTGGTTCCCGGACCTGGCTCCGGTCTAACTCTGCAATTCAATGAGCAATCTAGAAATACAGCAAGATCTAAACACATCCAAATTAATATCTAATTGCTAATTCTAAAGAATCAAAAACAATTTCTATTCTTTTTCGAAGAAAGACAAAAATTTCTTCCCATGCCGGGAATCGAACCCGGGCCGCGTGGGTGAAAGCCACGAATCCTAACCACTAGACCACATGGGAGGTCGAGACCCTTTGGAAATTGGGGGTTCATTTAACAAGCAGTGAACTTGGGGGTTGATTTAACTGATGATTGATTATTCAACGAAAGGTATCTGGTTTGACCTCTGATCGAAAGCCTGGCTAGTTTGGAGTTGAATTCTAGACAAATCTTTGCACTCAAGACAAATCTCTTTCGCTACAGGAATTGCAGCCACAACATCTTCATTGCGGGCATGTCTATAATATCGTTGTAAATCTTTCCAACATTTTTCCAAGAAAGACAAAAATTTCTTCCCATGCCGGGAATCGAACCCGGGCCGCGTGGGTGAAAGCCACGAATCCTAACCACTAGACCACATGGGAGGGCTGATCGATGAGGAAATTCGGGGTTTTTTTTTTGTGGGTTTTTTTTTTCCAAATTCTCCCCCCCAACCTTTTTTTTTTTTTTTTTTTTTTTTTCCTTTTTTTTTTCCCAAAACTTTTTTTTTTTTTATTTTATTTGTTGATTTAACTGCTAACACTGTCAAGAAACAAAATAGATATTATTTTGTCATTCAAGAGCTGATTATTGAGCCAATTAATGCGCCAGAAGGGTGCGTTTACAAGATTCGAGCAAAAAGTCCACAAAAATCTCTATGAAGGGTGAAAAAGTCTCAAAAATGGGATCGTAATGCAAATAGTAACAAAAAAAAACAAGAGGACATTGTTGTTCAAGTATTGTTGTTCAAGAGTTGACGATCAACAAAACCATTGACTTTTCAGAGATAATTTGACGAGAGCAAGTCAAAACCAATGTCAAAAATAGAAAATCCAATTAAAAATGCTCAAACTTGAGGGTTTAAAAAGTTTGAAGAGTGATTTGATGAAAAAAAAAGATGAGAAGTTCTCTCGGAAAGAAAAACACAGTTAACAGCAACCGGTATTCGGTAAATCGGCCAAAAAATAGAGAGAAATCTCAAGAACCAATTCAATAAAAAGAGAACCCATTTAGTTCTATGAGAAAAGTTCTCTTCTTTCTTCTCTTCTTTCTTCTCTTCTTTCTTCTCTTCTCTACTTTCTTCTCTCCTTTCTTCTCTTCTTCCTTCTCTCCTTTCTTCTCCTCTTTCTTCCCTTCTTACTTCCCTTCTTTCTTCCCCTTTTTCTTCCCCTCTTTCTTCTCTCCTTTTTAGAAATCCCCAAAATTCAATTCAAACATTTTTGCATTGATGACGGAAAGTTTTGAAGAGAATTAGCAGTTTCTATAATCGATTTGATATCGAATTTTGAGAGAAGACTATGAGCTAAACCATTTAGACGAGTTTTCAAATATAAAATTAACCTTTAAACTGAAATGGATCGAATATAAAGATGTTTAAGTCAACGACAAAATTTCATTCTCTAGTCCTGTTCTCTAGTTCATTCTCTAGTTTCTATGATCGATTTGATATCGAATTTTGGGAGAGACTTTTTAACGGAATTGCTGACTAACTGACTTACTTACTTAGATTTACTAAACTATTAGGTTGGTGGGAAAATAATCGAAATTTCAAGCCTTTAACTTCAAGTCCAAAACTAAAAGTCAATAAAAAATGAATTTATCAGCATCAGCATCAATCAACAATTCAAAGTAAAAACCATATAGATCATAGAAACTAGAGAACGAACTAATTGGAAGATTTCTATGATACACTGCTGCCAACAAACAAGTTTTCCAATTAGGCGTTCTTTCTTATTTTGTTCTTTCCAATTAGGCGTTCTTTAGTTTGGGGTGCGACCCGCTTTAACCTTATCATCGAGGATGATTCTGCTTAAGAATGACCGAATAGCACAAAAGGTTAAAAAGGGTTTCCCCAAAGCGCTTACAATGTAACAAGAACACGTAGTATCCAACATAAGATTAATACTTGTCGGTGGCGACACAAATGTTAGTAAGCTCTCTCTACAATGTTAAAACCAGTTATCTAAACAGGATTTAAAACCTGAAGGGTAGCATAAAGTAAGTTGAATTTATAATTTTACTGTTTATTAGTACAAAACCAAAATGCAACAATACCCATTACAAAAACAGCAAAAAATTAAACAACAAAGTCCCCCGCCGAAAGAAGGCAAAAGCAACCCGCCGACCCAAAAAAAAATAATTTCGGGTAGGAAGAAAAAGACGAAAAATGCGACGCGAATAATTGCAAAATAGGAAGGAAACGGACGCGACCCTAGGTACTTTTGAAGTACCGTATTGAAGCTGTATTGAAGCTGTATTGAAACCGTATTGGAACCGTATTGGAACCGTATTAGATCAAATAGGAACCGTATTGGAACCGTATTGGAAACGTATTGGAACCGTATTAGATCAAATAGGAACCGTATTGGAACCGTATTGGAACCGTATTGGAACCGTATTAGAACCGTATTAGAACCGTATTGGAACCGTATTAGAACCGTATTGGAACAGTATTGGAATCCTATTGGAACCGTATTAAAACCGTATTGGAACCGTATTGGAACCGTATTAGAACC